ATTTATCCATGTGCTACTCTCACCATCTAATTCTTCTTTTTTACAATGTTTCGTCCTACTAGGACTTCATGGAATCTTGTCATCTTTTGTCATGTTCACTTGATCCTTGGTGGAGCATACTTGTGTTTGCACATAATTTGTGTGAGCTACATACCTTTGCTTTCTAAGATGGGCAATGAGGTGTTGTAATATCAGATGAGTGAAGACATTACAGAATATTCACTATTATATTTGGAGCATAGAGTCAAGGCTTTGTAACAAGAACTTGAACAAAATAATGATATAATAATGATATAGTTTAAGAGGTGATTTCGCAATAAACTCGAGAATAAAATAGTTTCTTTCGCCCTTATTTCAAACCTGACTAGTTAACAGCTCTTTACTCTTTGATAATTCCATGTTCAGGAATGGAAACTTAGTTTTCATCTCATTTAACTTATGATTCCTTATTCTGAAAAGCGTCGCGCAGAAAGAGATGGAGAGTACCGTGTGGATATTTTGGCTTCTGACTATTATCACAAAGACGAGCAAGGCCAAGGAGATCAAAAGTCTCCTTGTTGATAGATTGTGCAATACCCTTACTTGTCATAAAACTGCATATTGTAATGAACTTGAAAGATTGATGCGCATTTATGTTGGTCTTATCCGGCCTCTCTCGATTGGCTTGATGATGCTCCATGGAGCGTCAAAGTGGGAGACAAGACACACGTTTCAGTCTTGAACAACAAGGTCGATGGGGTACGAATCTTTGGTCGTTACTGCTCCCTCTTGCGGCAATGGACTACATTGCGACATTGCATTGCTGTCAGTACCTACTAGGAAAAGTTCACCGGGTGTAAAGCCGCTGTCCCATTTCCGACCTCACACACGTCGTAATTCATTTTGGGGGTTAGTCTTACCGCCTGGGCCTGTCAAAGTGTTTCATCCGCACCAACCCTTTGACAGGACACAGGGTTACTGACCGCATCCGCAGAATCGCAGTTATGAAGTCCCAGGTTTTGATTTCATATCAATCTCCAATCAACCATATATCCCACACGACTTTCCCGATATGTCGTTCGTTTCTTCTTAACTCGCAGGCGATTCCCTGTGTTCCCTCTTCTCTTTCGGCAGCGTGGAACCAGGAAGACATAAACCTCCACCGTCTGCAAATGTGACGTCAAAATGACTCTTTCTATCTGTACAAGCGAAAATTACTCTCCTGAAGTATAAATGTACGAATATTCTCCTTTCTCCCTTGGATGTTGTTTTTTATTCATAATCATGTTTTTAGAATAATCCTGGATTTGACTGCAATTTTTTATAGCTATGAACATTGAATATAAACCTTCACATTTCACCAATATTAGTCTCATCTATGTCAACTCTATACTTGTTAAAATATATGTAGATCTTTGTAATTGTTTCTGCATTTTAAGGAATCAATTGGATTTGAAGTGAGGTATTAGAGTTTGAGATTAAATAAGAAACCTTCAAAATGACCTAGATGTGTTAAGTAATGTCTTGATTATGTGCTGATTTATTGGTAACAAGACTTAAGAGATCAGTTTGTGAGATAATTTAGTTGCAGTGGTACATCGAGGAAACGTTGAGGAGTAGAAAGCATTGAGAAAAAATCTCATGCATTGAAAGAAGACAAAGAAGAGCTTCAATCCCCTCTGGAACTTGTCTATTACAATTTCAACATGAGTGACTTGTTGTGAAGAACACGTCAAAGTTAATTTTACAAGTTCATAAGGGTTGACATGTCAAATTCTTTTGACTTCATGAATAAATGAATGAAGTCAAAAAATGAATTACAAAATTAACTTAGTGATTTAACTACACTTACACATCGTTTTAAGATTCTGTTTTAATATCATACAATTCTATTAGTAATGGAGTATGTTTCTTAAGGTAGGATATTTTACATTGAACCTTTTTTAACAACATTTTCACATTCCGAATATTATCAAACTGAAAACTTATAAAATTCATGTCTTTCTTCAAAAACAGCTGATATAGTTCTAACTGTTTACAGAAAAAACATGTTCAGAATGATAATTCCCTGTCATTTTTATGAAAATATAAAATTACAAAATGAATATGCACAAAGATTTGTCATGACTTGCTTAATGTCAATGGTTATAGGCAGTAAAACTGTAGTTATAGTAAATACAACAGGTTGAAACATTTGTATTACTATGGCAATTAGGTTCAATCACAACATTATGATAAATATTTCAAAACAGTTGGAAACTAATTAGAAATTTTATTTTTTTATTACATTCATGATGAAATAATATTTTTTTTATAAAAAGGAAGTTTATAATGGTTTTTTATATTTTATTTCAATTTTGAATAGAAACAATGTACAAGATTAATAAAAAAATTTAAATTTTCAAAAAAATTATTTTCATAATAAACTATCAATACATAAAAATTCAAAAAGGGTAAAATTTCCATATAATTAAAATTTATTTTTTTAAAAATAATTAAATTTATATTAAAAATTTCATGATTGATTGATTGATTATGTCAAATCTGAATTCGTATTTTTATGTAACAGTTTGGATGCAAAAATTAATTTTTATTATTCTTTGCAGTGATAATTTATTTAAATATAAATAAATATAAATATATATATATAAACATCTCCAAAAAAATTTGGTAGTATTAACAAACATTCAAGTTTTTATTTTGCAGTTTAACATACATATACTTTAGAGATTATATTCAAATTGAGATTGAAACATGTCACACACCTTATGCAATAAAATGTATAATAAATAATTTCATTCTATATAAAAATCACAATAAGATTTAGAGTTGCAAATCTTATCTTCCAACAAAGAAAGTTTAATGAATATCATTTGATTGTTAGAACCATTGAAGTTGATCATATCTAAGTCGTATTAAAATAAATCAAATCATGATGTAAACAAACATTTCAAGATGATAAGTAATTTGATTTAACATCTAATTTATTGAAAATTTCCAAAATATATATCTTTCTAAAACTTTAGAAGTTGTAACGTTGTTTTTTCATTGTAATTGTCATGGTATTTGGATCATGTTACATTTGAAAGATAGATATTATATCACATTCAAGCATGAAAGTTAAGCTAAGATTAATTCATCAATTATCAAATGTATATACCATTTTGATAAATTTTTTGTTTGAGATTCTAGAAAATTTATGTATCGCATTTATATTTAAACTAATGTTTACTAAGCAATTATATTAAAATTTGATGTACTTTTATATGAAATACAAATATACAATTGATGATAAGAATTGAAAAGAGCAAAATTTTAATACAAATCCTGTCATGTTTGTAAACTAAATAATCAATCTTATGCTAATGTATCTTATATCAATTATACATACAATTGTGTGATTTATATTTATGTTGATATATATATATATATATATATATATATATATAGTGATGTCCAAGATTATAGCAATGCATGTAAGTTGTGCTCTATATACTGATAGTTTTAATTAGATTAGCATGTAAACACAAGCGAGCAGATAGTGCAATTGATACATCTTTTATACTTATTTGTAAAATAAAAATAGCAGGATTGAAATATTTAAGATTAAAATGATATTATTGAATTAAAGTTTTTTAAATAAATTTTTAAACTTAAAATTGAAATAAGTGATTATCGGAATTAGTAAACTTTAAAATCCAATATTGGTTTGGCTTGAAGGTAAGATAGTTTTACTATAAATTAATCAAAGGGTTTTGTTGTGATTAAAGAATTTTTTAAAAAATGCTTGTGATGATATATATATATATATATATATATATGGTGAAAATTATATATCTTATGACGTGATTTGTGTATGCATGACGTGTTTCATGATCAGATCGAAAATTTACTTGCTTAGAGATTTATGCTTCAATAACAATTCATTATCATGGATAGTCATATATGGATCAATCGTCAATTTTGAAATTGCAAATAAACTAAATTGCTCTTCCGGACTTTAAACCTGTTCATCTATCAACTTTATATCTAGAGATAAATAGTTCAGCATGAATAAAAGTTTAGGATATCAAAGTGTTGTCCCATTACTATAAACGAGTTTTGATTAATTTTCTTTTATCTCTAATTCTGATTATGGAAAGTTCTGCAGTCATCCGTGAGCAATGATATAACTAAACCTTGTTTTGAAATTAAATCTTTATAATAATGGATACATAGTCATTTTACAATTTCACACAAGTTTCGTTTTTGAATGCAAATCTCCACAAATGCAAAAAAATACTCCTCCGAGCTCCGGTACTCAGAGAAAATCAACTATTTAGTGAAGGAGGTCGTCACTCATTCAACACTTGAACTTACCTAAGTTCAAGTGTTGAATGCTGCCCGGACCAACAGAGAATCAAGCTGCAGATACATATATAGCTGTATGATATAAAATGTACGCTAATAGATACGATCGGGCGGAACATCATAAGTTGTCCTCCACAAGATCACACGAAGAGGGACAGTCATAGCGCAAGGAACGTTCGGGATCCACCTCTCCCATGAGACGCGCAGCCTTGTATGGAGTTTCCTCGGTGCTCACGTCAGGTTGTGTACCAGCCACACAGACGTCGCATACAGCCAGCTCATCCTCGATACCGTACGGCGAGATCGGTAATTTATGTTAAAGAGCAGCAAAATAGTTTCAGCAACAGAGTCGGAACGCGGCCAAATCCACGACAGTCGCAACTGTAGGTTCATCAATTCATCGAGCTGGACCTCGATCTTGTCAATATATCTGTTTCGAGTAGAGGCTGCAGCAATGGGGCGTACATGTACATTCCCTGTACATGCTATAGCTCGATTCAGTGTGTTAAATCGCTTTGATTGTCCGGATGCTGTACAAGACCTGGTTGTCCTACACAGCGCAGACAAGGCAGGCGACACTTCTACAGAGCCTGCAGTATCTCGTGGGTCACACTTGGAAGATTCAGAGCCCCCGATGGGCCCGTGAAAAGTCGGGAGATAGAAGGGAATTAAGAGAAGAGAAAGCTGCTTGCAGATTGTTTTAATTGCCACAGTGCTTTTACACATTTCGAAATTGGACCGTTCCTAGTTCACCTCTGTGCCTAGAATCTACCCTTACGATAAAAATGAATAGGCGGCTCGCTGAGTTCCTAAGTCTGAAATGAAAACAAGAGTTCGAAAAGACAGAAGAGTGAATTCTTGAAATTCTGAAATATTGTAAGATCTAAAGACTGGACGGATCTAAAGACTCTCTACCATCCTGATAATATTGTACGGCTGTTGTACATGTAAGAAGCCACTGCTCTTGCTGAAGCGTATGAGGACTCCTACAGAGGGGTGATCTGAGCGGTAGGATGAGTATGTGGAGTGTAACTATATGGGTAGAGGGATATGTACGTATAGATGTGTGCAGGTGAAAGCTATGCTCCATAATCTCAACCCCATGAAACTCGGTGCGTATCGGGGCTCATCTACGAAAGACGACAAGAATAATCTATAACAGCTTGATCTCCTTGTTGAATACCCAGCTGAAACTCTTGGAGACAGGAGGCCCACGCCTTTTGGTCATAGTTTGGGATCGCTCTGCTAGTCTGCGGAAGCGTGTGGGCAGATTGCACACGAAGTCTTGCGCTCTCTGGGCCTCGGGCGTCAGTCCGACCAAGCTTTCCACCTTCCACGTTCGGATCAGGTGCTCCATGATGCTCACATAGTCCGCAGCGGTGTAGACCCCAAGTCGCTGAGCCACTTGAGCGTAGTTTTCGAACAGTTTTTCGTCGTCCCCGTCAAACATCAGGTGCGCCGGCATTGTAATTTTCTTCTTCATCATGTCTTCGAATGCCAGCATTGATCCGCTCGGATCTAGTTCAAAAATTCTGCTCATCACTCGCGTATACGCAATCTCGTGCCTTTTCTCGTCGGCTGCGATCATTTTGCAGATTGTCGCGAGCTTGCTGTCTCCGAATTGCTTGGCGTGAGTAGCTGTGTTGTCATGGGAGATGTACGTTGCTCGCTCTTGGAAGGACGTGTAGATAAACCCGTTATATGGGTCGTTGTTGATTTGAGGAGCCTGCGTACAGAAAATGGTAAATTCACAGAATACAGCTTTGAGATTGCAGCTGCTATTTACATCACTCGAGTCAACTAAAAGGCCACGCTAGAAAACAAGTCCCCTCTACAGCTTTCGCGGTCTGTGACTTGGCAGACCGTGAAAGTTGTCAGTGCTACGTTGTAAATGGCCGACATAATCCGCCAGCTATGCCTGCTTTACCGGCTCAATGGCTGATCAGTGGTAAATGCAGATGGGTGGCGTTTGATTCGTGAAAAGCCTGACTCTCTTCCAGAATAATATCTCTGTATCTTAATTGCCTAAGAAATTACGTGTGCATGTTCGAGAGAAGGTATCTTTTACGGACCTTGTTCATCTAGATAGAGGTACTCGACAAACGCTGAGTCTAATAGAAAAGGCTCCATTTCTAAAGTGGGAGTCAATACTCTGGTCAAAATAGAAGAACTGGCGAGTGAATATCCTCCAAGCCAGCGTGACAGACGTGGAGAGTCAGTCAGCTTTTCTACCGGCTATCGAAACATGTCAAAGGTATCAGCCCCATATTCTTACCAAGTTACAAAACAAACGCACAAGATCGTAAGCCATGGACGAGTCGCCTAGAATGTCCAGGTCTTTTGAATCTAGACTTCACTAGAGTGGATCGTAATAGGTCGGACGAAGAGAGATGGAGTGTATGTTCTCACCATGCCAGAACCGATCAAGTACTGTGTAGTCTTCTCAATCATTCGCATGTCAACTCTTCCCGAAAGGTAGAGGTATTTGTTCAGAAGATCTCCGTGTCTGCTCTCTTCTGAAGTCCACCCACGTAGCCAAACAGCCCAGGGCTCAGGGCTACAAACCGTCGAATCTCTCACCCCTTCGAACGTGTTCAGCATGGTTTGATAAGTGGGCAGCGCTTCCTCAGTGATCATATCTCCCACGAGACATACCAGATAATCGTCCGGCAGGTTGGCAGTGCGCTGCTGGAGAGCCCTCACTTCGTCGCTGAATGTGGGGGAAGAGAAAGAAGGAAGATAATCCTGAGGCTGCCAACATTTCTCCACTGGCTTCAGCAGGGGAAGAAGGTTCTCTGTTGCCCATGATGTCATGCCCCTCACCACCGCCAGCTTCTCCTCAGAAACATGACTTGGAGATGACTTCCGGGTCCACAACTGATACGGAGTTACTTGTGGCTTCGAATTATTGATATTATCCTTTTCGGTCTCCGGTGCTCTGAATCAGTCCAGGTACACAATTCTACAGTTAGCCAGATCCTCCCCGTATCTACTCGCGTATGGTCAGAGCATGCAAGGGGAAACGATCCGTACAGTCGCAGACATCTGCAACAGCCTGTGGCTGTTTACGACATTTCGGGCTTACAAGCTACAAGCCCTGTGACTGCTCGAAACCAGAACGACCATGAACTGATCGGTTGAATTTTGACCCATGTGCTGCTCTACGGGTGACGGCCCAATGGACTGAAATGAGCTGTTAAAGCAGAAGCAAGATCCGAATACTGCAATATCTGCTGAGATATCAGTATCGGTAAATCGGTAAAATGTTTTTCAAATCGATTCGAGGGTCATGAAGTCGGCACTTATGGAAGGCTCCAACAAACATAACTTGAGTCAATGACATTGGAGTTCACAAATTGGAGAAAAACATAGTCTAACCGGGAAGGAGCTGAGTTAGGGAGTTGCAACCTGGACGCGAGTTCCGCTCGACAGTATTAATTCAACCACATGTTGTTGTAGTACTAGTTCACAACTACAGGCCCATGGACACCATCTACCATTGTGATACACAAAGGATCACCATAACCGTTCCACCGACTTGACGAGTACTTATCGAAAGGGCGATATTGGTCCAACGAGGTTCATACTTGCAACATACGGATGATATCTTGGTGATTTTCGATCGAATAGCTTGACTTTTGTTCACTAGTGAATATCTGATCCAGCTCCGGCTGAACACTGTGGTTTGATCTCCTTAGCAACAAATTCACGCAAGTCTAGACGCCTACAGTGCAGAGAGACGTGGAGTTTCTCCACTCCACAAAGTATTGAGATGGCTGCGATCACTAGTCAGTCCAGGAAAATGCACGTTGAAGCACACCACAACTGAATTTTCAACTCGTCAAACGATTCAAGGGGAAGGGACACGCTTCATCCCAGCACAACAATCATGACAAATGATGAGCAGAAGTTACGTGACGATTGACATGCTAACCTGCAACTGGCAGTGCAAGGCACGGCGGTTGTATCTCATAATCTTGCCCGAGTGAGGAATTCTGCTGAGAATGACGCAAGAAAGACTCGAGCTGAATAGCCCGAGAAGATGAACACAATCACAATGCGGCAGCTCTCAGCTGCTGCATTCCTCAGAACGAAACCATGTCAAGAAGTACAAGCCAACGCTTCTCCAAGAGAGATTATGCTGTGGATCACCCACCTCGGCTGAGTCGAGACTGTCGCCTTGATATCATAAACAATGCTATTGCTCGGCCGCTTCGGATCAAGTTTCACAGCCGCCCCAGAAAAGTGAGTGGGAATTTCAGATGAAGCAGCACACTTGGCTCGAGGAAGGACCACCTTAGACACCGACGCTGCTACCAATTCCATAGTCTCCTCTGAGTGGAAGAATCTATGAAGTACACACGCTACACGGACAGCAGCAGAGAAGTAGTATAAGCCTGCGCAATGAGCAATCGATACAGCGTGGTATGGTCTTTCTCAGAGTAGAGCTAGAAGACGTTTGTCCAGTCCACTTTTCCTGTTTTCCTCTGATGTCTTCTGTCGAGTGGTCAGAATGCACAATGCCTCCGGTACAATAGAGACGCGAGGAGAGTGGGAAACTTGAGACAGAATTAAAGTAAGCAGACTAGTGTTGTCAGATAGTAGGTGTGCAGACATAAAGGCGCAAAACCCCAAATTGTACTGTCACTCCACATTCATCCTGAATGAGCCCAACTAGCAATTCCTTACTAAGCCAGATAGATAGAAATTTACCGTAATTATAGGACTGCAATTTGTAAGTAATCCCTTTGGTCACGGACTCTCGTCTAAACACACAATCATACAGCTCCCACCAACACGACACAAAATATGGAAGTCCGCCCGGAATATACGCCCTCCAATATTTTTGGCACCCACTATAAACTCCCTTATCCGGGCTTTCTTGCGTACTGCTTCACTGCCCTCGCAGTCAAGTCCCTAATCAATAATATCACGACCAGCCCAATGGACTTCCACCCACGGGGAACGAGATATTGCACGGACGATCCTCGTCTCAATGACTCGCTCCGTTTCCAAGATCACCAGTTCAACGAATGGAAGGGCCTCGACCTGCAGTTGATGTCGAACTCAGCGACCTAGGATCCAGGACTAGCGGCTAGCTGGAGCGGCAGCCCAGAGCGTTACAATGCAAGGAAAGAAGATGTTTTGGGGTGGGATGGAAAGAAGAGCCTAAAGCCGCCCTCGCCCGCGATATCTGAACCATCTCAAGGGCGCGCAAGCGGCGAAGCCAGCCCGCCCGCCCGCCAGCCTGCGCTGCCTGCGCGGATGCTGGGAGCGGAGGGCAGCGGAGCCGAGGTAGGTGCTCGTCAATAGTGTTCTAATAAACCACCCCACTTTTTGCCATTAGAACTCTCTCACCTTGTTACCGTGCGCGCCTACGACGATCCGTAGTTCTGCACGTCATTATGGTTTTATTGTACACTGATGACTCTCGGCACACTGTTTACCACGCAACTACTGTTGTTCCTTGCGCTGTTTTCCGTCGTCGCGAGACCTGACGGGGCTAATCACATCTCCGATCACCCAGCCAATCATCCAGTTCCATGATAACTCAGAATTAGCCTGTGGTCAAAGCAGGTGGACCAATCTAAACCCGACTTAGCTGAGGGGGGGCCATGAGTGGCAAGCTTAGATTCAGAGCGTATTAAAAAAATACAAATCCTTGGCCAGCAGCAATATACAAAAGTCAATTCTATGATACTGGTGACAGCGAGAATACCCTGGAGACTCTCCGATAGGATCAGATATTGGGGTCGACGATTGACATGACACTACTAGAGATATGGGAGAGGACAAATTTTGGGCCGTGAGAAACAGAGAGGAAAAAGATTACTGCACTCAACGAAGGACAGGCGACGACCCCGAAGACCGTGGGTCCCATGCTAGGAATCGAATATAAACTGTTCACGAAAGGTCGCTAAAATCGTCCTGAAGTTAGCGGCGCTGGATGTCTCGGCGCGAAGTTAGAGACGGCCTCGGGTTATCCACATCGACCTTCTTAGAAGTTCCCTCCGCATATAGAGACATGTTGGACTTGCCTTTGCTAGCTCGAAGAAGCTGGCTTATCCTTGCTATCGACTTGGCCGGCTCATACGGACATGTTCAATGTACATACTGTATTTCATACGATGGACTGTTTCTGTAGGGTTGTTGGCCATGGTCGCCAGGTGGACAAATAGGCATCATCGGTCTGCCACGTCTCCCGTCGCAGGAACAGCAGGATCGTAACTAACCATACGTCCAATAAGAAAATACATTTTGGTTCCTTAGAAGGAGAGCCCCACATATAGCGCGACGATAGACGCGAAGTCCCTGAAATGTTTAAGGACGGCTGTGGTCACAAAGTTGTCGCGACGTGTCTTGCCGGAAGCATGCGTTAATCGGCCGGTAATCATTTCGCTGCTCTTGAAATCAACGGCAGACTGATCCTTCCACTTTCACATCCTACCCAATCACGTGCTGCATGGCGCTGAATTTTCTAGGCTGCGTTGTAACACTTCGTGCGAAGACCAGTCCAATCAAGAAGTAAAATGAGACTCAAACCGTTCGATGCAACTTGTATTGACGACTATAGAGCTAAGAGTCGTCGATTTGGCATCTTCTTGACCTGAGTTCTAATTATTAGTTAGTGTCGTTCCTCGCATTGCTCATCAGGTCGACGCGCTTTTACAGCCTTTAACAAGAACATATGAGATTAGTCTGTAACAGACAAAGTGCATGTAAACAAAAAACTTCCGACGTAGATGACCGCTTGTTCGACCCTTTTTATAACAAGTAAACCGGATGCACAGCTGGGATGAAACTCACATGCGTCTCGTTATTGATAGCTCCGTTCCATTCCGAGGTGTGAAAGCGTTCATGTGTCTTCTGATCTGGTCATTTATTAATTTCGCCACAGGTGCACAATGATCAACCTGATGTCACTCAAATGGAAATGATACGTACACTGTTTAGAAAAGTGATCATGATGCAAATCAGGGTCAATCTTTATTGCCACTTTGATCTACATACTTGATGATGGGGAAGCTCTGTCTTGCAGTCAGCCCTTCCCGTCTCTCCGTAGACGTGCTAACATACAGTCTCTCCAGAGAATGTGTTCTAGGGCTAAAGTTCGACATTTTTAACGCCAAGAAACATTGCGCAAATCAGCCGTTTACACAACAATTAGACGATTGTAACTTCAATGACCGTTTTATTCACCTTACATTTTTAGACTATTCAAGAAATAATTTTCATTTCAAGAACATGTAGAGTTTTCACACTTCTGCATTATATATGAATTTTGATAATATTAAATTCAAATATAAATTTATGTTTTTTTTAAAGTGTAATATATATAAATAATCTATTAGTCTTAATTTTTTTTAATCAAATCACATGAATGCAACATGATATATATATATATATATACATATAATTTCTTTTACAAAGCATTAAATATATTGATATTAATAAAGCAAGCCATGCACGAATGTTAGTTGATTTTTGCACTATAGGATAAGATAAATATGTATAACACTATGAACAAATGTATCCCGCTTGTGACAAGCATCATTCGCCTGATGGTAAGTTGGAAATCTGAATCTTCTGGTTAATATGATCATTGCATGTATATAAGATCACAATTGGATATGAATATTGATCAACACAAGTGAAATTTCTGAAAGCACATCTCAGTATTATAGATCAAGTAAGTAAGAGTGTACTTCCAGTACATTTTGACTAGCTTGATGTACTAAGTAAGAATGTCAAATGGGCTCATAGTCAAACAAACATTGTAATATGCTATAAGATGAACTAGCTATAGGTCCCAATATATAAATTTTGATATTAGCTAATCAATAAAATTTTGTTATATTTTTTTCTTATCATCCATGATCAATATTCCTCAACAAATGTAACTTTTTAAATTTTTTATTCTATAAAAAAATTTCAAAATAATTTATTATGGTGTCTTCTATATTTTCACATGAATTAGTTGTTGAATGCTAAATATGATCATAAACAGACTAATCAATCTTCTCTAATACGACTTCTTAATCGACTAGATTACACTAGTGTAATCTAGTGATATGATGTTAACAAAAGAAGGTTGGTTATGTGTTATACCACCTACAAACAAACTACATTACCATCTCTATTGTTATAATATACATCCATAACTTTACAAACGAATCGATTCTATTCCTATTAATGTAAATACCTCAAGTAAAATCTATACTAAATAACATATATACAACTTACTCAATAAAATTCAACGTCCCTGGTTCAGGTACAACTTTTACAGTAGCTACAATTCAATTTCGTTACACGAAATGGACTGTAGCTACTGTAAAAATACCATTAATCCATAAATTTACCAAGGACAGTGGATTGTAGTTGCAAAAGATGAGACTAGAATCTCTCTTTCTTTCAGATTTCTCTTTACAGAGAGATAAAACATGAGAAAATATTGATAGTAGATATTGATCACTCAAAGTAATTGTTTTGACACTCGATTGAAATTGTGAAGGATAAAATCTACACGCTGTAATTGGTTTGGTGCCGACTTTAGAGTATGTTGACTCTGATCGTACTTTACTCTGTGCGAATCATTGTATCATTCGGGAATACGCCATGGTTTGAGGACTTTGTAAAAAAGTAGACACCAGTTTCTTCACATGATGTTAGTTTCACCCTATTTTGAACTTTACCAATCCAACTGTGATATAGAGATTGGAAGAAATCTAATAATGTTACCTTTGAAAGAAAAGTCTTTGTTTTCTTTACCTGGAGTTGATTCCAAATTGTGGGCACTTTTCCAACCGTAGTTCATGGGCTAAAATCTTGAAAACATAAAAACGGTAATTCGACGAAACTCAACCCCCAATATATGATACAACCCTTGCTCCAGATATTGATATCATGCACTGAACACAGTCCGTCCAAAAAGTTTAGAGTTTTTCATTAAAAAGCACTATACAATCATGAAAAATAATGTACCCTGTCAAATATTGCTGAGGGAGTTCAAAGAGTACCAAAGACTCTGAAGTATGTAAACAATAAATTCAATAGACGAGAAAATTCAAGCAAATGAATAATTAACCGATAGGGCTTCCAAGAGAGCGCAATTATGAGATTGAGAATGTGAGAAAAACCCTTGTATACACGAATACGATATATTATACAATGACTTGCACTCGTGGCAACAAGTTTCCCGGGACACATAAAACCTCGAGATATAAAGACGCTGCGGCAAGATGAGCAAGGAGAGCTTCAGCGAGGGTGTCAAAAGTCCGCAAAAGATGAAGTAATGATAACCTGAATCTTGAAGTGAAGGCTCGTTGGGAAGATGAGTGCACATTTGCATCATCAGTTCTACCGCATTTGCACCAAAGTGTGAAAGTGAAAGCAATGTTGCTTGCGCAAGCTGCAGAGTAATCCGTGCTATATATGCACCGCATAAAGGTGTCCCCTCCCCCTTCCGCACTGAAAGGAGTCCAAATCCAGATTTACATGCTCTGTCATGTCCATCTGCTTCAAATAATAGAAAGTCCTTCCATGTTGTGACTCCATGCACATCGAGGGTCGATGCCTGATAGCTGCCCCCCTCCCGTCCTACCTTTCACCCTGATATTTTCTACCATGACTTATTTACCATCTTACACGGATCAGAATCCGAATCAGATTCACCATGCCTACTGCGTATGGCGAGCTCAACTGCTGGCTACAACGGCAGGTACAACCGGAAGTCAGCTCTGTTCTCACAGCCGAGAACTTCGACTTTTGCTTCATCAGCAAGATGCCCACGTATTGGCAAATTACGATGCATAAGCCTCAATGCACCCTCTCACATGTAAGAAGGAACGTTTCTCGTACGACTCTCAGATATCTCCAATCGAAAGTGGAGCAAAGAACGAGACATCAGCCTCCACGGATCGGTGACTCAAATTCCCATAACCTAGTCCAGCAACGAAGGAAGCTTTTAGTAATTGTGATGTCGATTTGGCGCTTCCTTCATCTCGCGTCATGAGGCATAAACATGAAGCTCGCTTATCTGCTGTCGAATTTGTTGTGATCTTTAAAAAATGATTCAAAATGTCTTAGACCCTCTTGTAGAGCTGATTGTGATATTTTAGATGTTGGGGCCCAGGCCATCCTCGAAGGCGTCTTCCCAGCCGTTTTGCTTCTTACTCGCTCTTTCCTCCATTTGTTCTGATGGTGGAGCTTCGAGTTGCCAACCGTAACTAATTCGTCGTATAGGAGACTCTGTCTCGACAGTAATACGGTATGATTCCGCATTGTACAGAACCGTAGTCTCGATCAGAAGCTCGATCCGAGAGCAGTCTAAAAAAGTGTGGAGCGAAAGAGATCGAGCGATGCAGTTAAAGGAGGCCTTAAAGAGCGCTCCTTCTTTCGGGGGAGGACACGATCCCGCAAGACAAGAGCGAGAGCAAGAGCAGCGGCGGGGCGGTTGCTGCCCTGCGAGGAGCCTGCAACGAATCGAAAGCACCCCGGGCCCTAGAACGGGTCAAACCAAGGGCCTGAGGGCATGAGCCCCGAGTAACTTTGATCACTTTGATCGCGTCGCCATGTTGGTAGATCTGGCGATCCCACAACCGTCGCCAGAAGTTCTGCGACTTCTCATGGAGCAAGAAGAGGGCCATGGGAAGGTTCGGTGGGTCATTCGTTGCGCTGGCGGCGGGGGGCTGCTGCTGAGTCGGATCGTTCGGATGCAAACCAGTTGCGGGGCGGGATTCCTTTCTGAAGTCAGTTTGTTTGTTCTCGCTTTCGACTTAATTTCACATTCCCCGATCGCGTCCATTCTTCTTCAAGCGGGCAGGAGGAGGACCATATCTCCATTATAGTGAGCATGGGGGTCGCGAAACCCGGTCGTCAAATTTGGAATTGTTGACATAGTCTGACTGGGGCTCCCTATCGACGCTTTTATATCTACATGCGCCGCTACACTCGGCGTGTTCTCTGCACGGATTTCTCCATTCCTTTCTTACAGTGATTTTGGGTCAAAGGGCTTTCCGTTCTCTTACAAGCTTTTCTTAGCATCGACCCATACGATCATCGCTGCTAAACAAGTTGCGGGTGAGCAGGCACCGCTATCGTCATCGTTCCTTCGTGATTGTACCCTGCATTGTCCATGCCTTAGGCATGGACAAGTGGAAAGCCCGGTTCACATACGGTGACAAGATTTTGCAGATATTTAAATCATTTCATATTTTATCACATAGCAATCATGCCTATGGGATCCATACGTGAGTATGATTAGCTTTACAATTAATGTCTATTAGATTTTTATTCGATATTTCTCTAATGGTGAGGAGCTTATGTTCTTACTTTGTCTATATATCTTCATTGTTCAAGTTTGTAGGTACAGAAGTGTTTCACATGACTTCATGATAACTACCCATGATGATTCAGATACGTGGTATTTGCGATATATTGCACTTGTATGAGATGAGAAATATCTATACCTGGTTAGGGCAGGTATGTGGTTACCACCCATCCCACAGTCATACAAATGGAATCTTCCAAAATCTCCGATTATTTAAATATCTTAGAATTAAAATCGTCTTTCATATTTGTGAATATTTCAACATCTTCGATTCTATTATACTGGTAAATATGGATGTCATTCTTTTTTGGGTTATTGTGTAAATATATATAAACATGTTTCCATTCATCTCAACACTAGCTCGTGCCATATGCTATTTGTTCGGATGATCTTGTTTACTCTTACAATGTTTGGTGACAGTTTGAAACTAAATAGATTGAATAAGTTGCAGCACTATTTCCCATTATGTGACTGTTGTGGCTTGATGGGGCATTCCCATGCTTTTTGTTATTAACTAGTTTCCTATCCCGATGGTCAACCAGATGCTGGGTTTGACTAGAAGCCCTCCTAAACTTTAATCCTTCAGATTTACACTCCTTATGTCAGCGCATCGCAGTAAGTACTAAAGAAGCAAATTACTGCCAGTTATTTTCTCTCCCTTCACATTAAGAAGATTTTCGGATGCCGTCTTGAAGCAGATGCCCGTAACGCATGTGCCCACATCTTGGAGATCAAGTAGTACCAGCTAAATTCATCTGCTAGCCGACTCCATACATTATCTCCTCAGCTTCAACGTCTATTGTCGCAAAATGTGTATTCGCTCGCATCCGTACATCGTTGCCAGTTGATTGATTTGGAGTCCGCTCAGTTCATGTGAGATGAATGGTAATCACATACATATATTCTAGTCCCAGCAGCTGTCCATTGACCATGTTTCTAGGCATCACTTGATGTACAAATGACTGATCCTGCATGCCGTGTACTTTAGGCAGATAACTTTGGATTGGGGTACAATGCACACACACCTCACTCCCCGTCAGGTTGATGAGCTCAAGACATCCGTACAACCTCGGATGGTATGGGGCTTATTCATATTCCACCTAATTCAAGAGATAGAAAACTCAGAAAAATTCCCCTTAGTCTGGAATCTACCGTGTTCTTTATCATCTCATCGATACACCCTATTCAAAATGCTTCTACCGATTGGGAAGTATGTTTTGGGAAATTTCTTCCGCAGATAGGGTACCAAATTCGGCATTTTTTTGAGTCAAAGGTCTGAGTGTATGTTTACTACACATAGTACTCAAAGGGTTGGAATATATACTGAAGTTAATCCACTTTCAGTAGCTCCTCAAAAAGCCTACTACTTTCTTGCTTTGCTTTGCTTCGTCGTCATATCTTTTGCAAAAACAGAATTGGGCATCTTCAGAAAAGTGTGAAGGAAAAGTCCGACAAACCATGTTTGAAGACATCACCAGTGACCTCAAGCCATGGGTACCAGAAAGTGGAATCTCGATTCTCTGGATTATAACTTGAATAAAGAGAGAACAACTGCATATATTTGCCATGGCTTCCACAGTAAAAAACACACTGGGAGTTGTCCTATTCAGGGGGGTGAACGACTCGAATCATCTGAGACGTATGCCCATGTCGCCATCTCAAAAGTCTTCTTCCATAACAAGGTAGGTATAAGAAGGCACCGTCCGTAATTACTTCGGCATTTCTGATGAGTTGGCCTTTGACCATGCAAGAACAGGTGAGAGTACAGTATCACCTATCGTCAGGTCTGACTGCTTCCGGAAATTTCCCCTCCAACTGGTTTGTTTCTAGAGCCATCTAAACATTCTGACATCCAAAGCTGCCCGAAACTTGTCCTCGAAATAATCCCTGTCACATATCTTTCTGTACAAAATGTCAAAGCTAGAGACAGCGACGTACATGCTTCTTTCTTCTGATCTGAGACATGTGTTACATGTACTTGAAACCTTGGCAGCAAGGCATCAACTGACAAAAACAACAAAGATAGACGTTAGTGAAATGCCCTGCAATTCCTGTGAAGTAAAAGATCCTCATAAGCTGAAGTCCAGTAGATCTTAGGTGATACTCAGCACATTGACTTCAAGCTTCACATTTCCTTTTTCAGCTGACTATCGACAATCATGTCATGTTCTGACTTCGTAAACCAGAAAATTACCTGAAAAGCAAAGGGTTTTGAGTACGTTTGATGTGGAAATTAATGAGCAATATGCAAACTAAGTCTCTTGCATATTTTGAAGGGGAACAGAAGTGTCGCTGAAAAATCCGGAGGCTTCCAAAACCTCCAGAGAATAGATCCTAGCACGTCTCTCAAATTGCAAAAGCTCCTGCAAAGGCGGAAGTCAATCACAATGCGTTAACAAAGAAATTTCCCGGATCGTCTACAACTCATTATAAGGACTTCTTGGGTCCTTAGAAGAAACTAGACAAGGCTATAACTCCGTAAACATGTTTATAGCTTATAGAGGGTCTTCCAATTCAAGTTTGCGCTGGAGCGGTTATATTTATCAATCGGACTTCGACCCGTCATGTTGATATTGCACATCCAGAGGAAAGAGGACCAGTTATATTACCTGCAATTGTCTCTGACTAAACAGTTGATACAACTCATACTCCTTCGAGGCGACCAACTCCAGAACATCACAGTCTTCGTCATCTACTTCCACTGATGCCGCTGCTAGTGCAGCCTTTACCTAAAATCATTTTCGCATGCAAGCGAGAGACAGTTATAAAACGAGGGTGAGAGGTTTTTTCTCTTACTTTAAAGTCTTGCATGCAGAAACAGACTGCTTCTTAAAATAAAAACATTACCTGCATGCTGCGAAGAATTAATTCTGGCAAGCAGCATCGCCTACAGAGACCCTGCACTATATAACCAGCTTGAACCTGTTGTATGCCATCTCCACTGATATACCAAGCATCTAATCGTAGGACTTCTAACACTATACCAGCTCGAAAGTGAGGAAGTTCTCCTGCAGAGAAAGAAAACGGCTTGTGTTAAAAACAACCTCATCAGCACATATGTAGTTGCACATAATTCAGGTAAAAAATCCATCAAAAACATAGTATCCAGTCTGGAATTGGAAACTACCTTTCACAGCATATGCAATGATGGACGCAAGTAGACCACCATCATAGTCTGTGTTTGAGCCCAGCCCATCCCCTTTAACTGGCAAGCAGCGAAGAAGAATGTCTACAAGACTGTGATCCTTCCCATTCACCGTAACGTCTACCTGTGAGACCACAAAGCAAGAATGTTTAGATATAAGACAAACATTTTTTCAGGATCAAAAGCCTCCAAGACCCTAAACTCCAATACAATTTCAAGAACTAAAAGTTGATGAAGAACAGACAAAAGAAGAGCCTTCATATACAGAACGATAATCTACAAGCTCAACCAGACGCACACATGACGCAGTATGCGGTGCAAGATGGACAGTTTTCCGAGAAAAAAAGCCCAAAACGCTATATATTGAAAGTTACCATATTGGTTGATATTTTAAATTTCTGAATTCTGTTGCAGCAATTGACTAGGATGTATATTAGATATATCACCTAGCACCTGATGACTCTCCTGGTGTAGGCATAGCTTGCTACCACCCTCCATACCCTCAACTAGATACACTTAAACTAAATTAAAAGGCTTAAATAGCAATACACAAACTAAATTAAAAGCCTTAAATAGCAATCCCCACTCTGACAACAACTCTAAACGCAAACAGACTGCTCAATTCACCCCCACTTCAAAAGCAATCCAACACTACAATATAACGAATAATGGGTAGGTGTGCATTTGGTATGTATTCTTTACAAACAGGCATGCGATATAAATACGGAGGTCAAGGCTGAAACCTGAGCCTGATGCCCTAAACTTAACGCGACTGATGACTGAACCCTACTTAAACCTCATCCTGAATACAGAGAGAAACTGACTTCGTTATTTCAACATTATAGATCCACAGAGAAAAGCTTTGGTTTGGACTGCATATACCGTCAGTTGCCTTTGTACACCCTGGATCGCTCCGCAGTTATAGAGGGCATCAACTAGAGCTGTGCATACAGATGCATCAGGCACCAGTGACGATCCTGAGGAAGAACTTAACATCCCAGTGCATTGCAGTTCGATCCAGTCGGGGGCCAGATCATCTTCAGCTACATCATCAACTCCAGCCAACCACATACCATGGTTTCCTGGATAACGAGTCGAACGCTGCTCAGAACCGAGGGAGGCTTTTCCTCGCTTTAACCATTTTTGTTGTCTAAGTTTTTCCAACTTGTCATGTGCACCTTTTCCACTGCCAACACCGGGGCATATCACTAGGAAACTATTCTCCAAAATACTAGCTGTATATTTACCAGATTCAGATATATGAAGAAAACATAAAACTTTGAAAAAGTGGATGCACGCCATATGAACCATGTGTGAAAGCTTACTTTGAAGCAATGAGGAAGCAGCATCCAGGGCTTGTTGGGCTGCTGTAGCAGCACGTTCCTTCTCATCTGAAGAAAGTTCATCACTTGGTACTACTGAGTTGCCTTGTTCAATTTTCAGCCAGTTTCGGTAGAGAGCATCACAGGCATAGTATTCCCTCTGCATATTGGATAAAGACACAAATTAGATGTTAAATTTTCCGAACTGCGTTGAGTAAGTAAAAGAGAAACAAAAGGCTTCCGGCAAATAATCACATGTCGGCTATAGGTGGACATCTCATAGTGGCTGGTATGTATACTGACCCACTCCTCGAACTCCTGGAGGTTTTCTTGCACTCGAAGCTGGTCTAAAGAGAGTAGAGCATCAGTGGGCTGATTCAAGGGTTCTGCTAAATGACCCAATAACACATGAGCCCCAACAGGCATCTCCGGAGTTCTCCAAAGGCAACTAAGCGAGTACTCCCGAAAGAGTACATTGCTGACTTCCAGAAAAATATAAACAAGGTTAGAATCAACGAACCCAAACGCAAAATATATCATGCTGGGTCAGCTTTGAATACATGCTGAGGCGAGAACGAGCACAATCCACAGTTTCAATTTGAAGGTGGATACAGACCTTGCAAACAGCGTACAACTTAGAAATTGATCAATGAAAATGTGACGCAGTTGGATGGAGAAGAAATACATAATTTCACTCCAAGCGGCCAACTATTTGCTAAAACATTCGCTGCTAGTGTAGCAAAGAAGAAGATCATGTGAGTGCTGCTGCTTGACTTCTCAGTGAATTTTGATTTTGAAAGTACCTGTATTCCAAGGCTCGTGCTAGAAGTTCAGCTCGTAAAACTTCCACGCTGGACAAGCTCGGAGGAGGTAAAAAGCAGAGCCACTGCACTGCATGTGCCTTACGTACAGTTTGGAGTCGCTGCCCTGAGATTTCCACCTTTGCAAGAGGCCGGGAATCAGACTTGATGTCTCGAGATTTACTCAAGACTCTGTTCATCATACAACAAACGAAAGAGAAGAGTCAAATCAGTCGCTATTTTCTCCAGGCACACGCTTTTGGACTGGGTCTAGCCAGTTGCCAGGGGCATTACGATAAATAGACAAATGTCCATTTATCGTAATGCGCCGCACGTGGTCTCCATCACTGACTACACGGCCTGTGTGCGTATCTGTGAAACATGTGAACAATTTCTCTGCTGAAAACACTACACTACTGATGTTGCTTGCCTGAAATCAGATGCTGTCTCTCCTTTAAGTTCTATTTTGCTTTCAATAAAAGAAAAATTTGTAAACAAATAATCATATAAGAGGTACTTCTCCTTCTTGAATCAAATTTTAATTCCACTTATAGCCAAAAGTATCTACTTACCTGGAAATAATGTCAGAGAAACTGCCTTTTGTTCCATCCTCTGAAATGAATGGCAGGTACTCTATAGCTGACTTGAAGATTTTGTACTTGACTGGAACGCTGCAGAAAAAATGCCAGCTTAGTAGCGGAAACTTGAAAAGCCGGAAGAAAGTCAACAGTGAACTGTATTTAAGGAACGGTCGCAACAATCTTACATTATATGTCATTTATCACATGCTCTTGCAGTAGCTACGATACAGAAACGAACCTTACAATCCGTTCAATAAACACGCTTGTCCACGATATCGTAAGGATGTCTTTATGCTTAACAATTTGAATTCAGTTAAACAAGATGATCCATTATCATATGATGCAATATGAAGGAACAGGGAGCATTATTCACCTTTCATTCTCTCTTAGCTCAATCATCTGCACGTACAACTCCACACATAAGTGTGGTGCTAGTTGAGACGCGTAGACACCTACAAGCTCTTCCTTTCTCTGCGTGAAAAGGAAAATTGCATATCTGCATAATGAACGGAAATGTGGCCGTTAATCAATTAGTCGTTTACGGGTTTAAAATTGAGCTAGCTGGTTTAAGTAAGTACACGTTGTAAGATGTCTTTCTTAAAGTCGGAAAGCGGGAACCATCAAGCCCATCAAGAAAGCGTCACGTGCTATAGGGACAACTTAGAATTGTAAAATCAGCTATGAAACCGACAAGTTGATGTGATTTTAGATATGAAGAATCTTTATACATGTAAAAGAGAAAAGGGAGAATCAACCAACTCTTACGTGTTGAGAATCAGGTCACCAATAAGCCAAAGCTTTTCCTTGAATTGTTCTTTCATCTCATCATTCAATATATACCGTAAAACCAAGACCAAATGGGCACCAAAGCGTATCATCTGTGGATGACCGTGAGGCCTGTAAGTCATTAACGATGAAAATCAGAATCTCAGCACATAACAGCTTCTCTGATGGTGGACTTCTTGACACTCATGCTCCATTTTATTTGAGTATCGATTTGATGCAAATGAGTCTCATATCGTTGAGATCACAGCAATTAAACCACCGACCATAAACCTCTGAAAACATGTGAAAAGAGATAATGTGATATAGTTCTTACATACGAAGGCTGAAGCAGAATATATTCTTTTCTAATACATGAGACAAACTCATGACTGAATGTAGAGCCAGGTGGTCTCAAAGTTGATACAAAAATAATATCATATTCATGAGCACTCAATAATATAACATCGACTTGAGTGCAGAGAGAACATACGTTCCTCAAGAATGCACAAGAATGCATGCTCACCTTGACGAATCCCTGGTATCTTGAGATGGTGCTATCCACGTTCTTAGCAATTCCAGAAGGTGAGTAATATCTCCTAACATGAGGTCCATCTGAACCAACAGTATTCAGTTTAAAGGAATGCATCTACTGTTGTTTTACTTAAGTCTGACTGCGTTTTACTTAAGTAACCAACAATAACAAGTAAGGATCTAGAAGTAACATGCAACGTTGTCAGTTTCTATCAAAATTATTCTACTCATTCTATGCGTTGACAGTCGACGTACTTTCGCTTTTCAACCCGAAGACAACTATGATCAGAATTAAAATTACTTCATGGTATACACTGACAGGCAGCCATAACAGCAAAACATGTGCAGCATCAGGAACGTGCATATCTCCCTGAAGTAAAATGGTTTTCAAGACTCCTGTGAATAGGTACACGTATATTACAGGACTTGGCAACAACAATTTACAGAACTAATAGTAACACATTTCGTGTAACAAACGACAACCGCCCACCTGAACAAGGCGCTGTTGCTCTTTGCAACTTCTACGCACGGCTTCGTTGACAAGATCCCTGATTTAACAAACAGTAATAATTAGTGTTGTCTATCACAGCCTGAAGAACACACAACCCGCCTTGGATAGAACGGTACTCATTGAACAAAAAAATATGCAAAGGAGACGGACGAGAAAAAGAAAACATGCATTCAGAATTTTAGAAACGGAAAATTGATGGCTGCCGTCAGTTTGTACTCTGCACGTAAACTACGAAATATACGTCCCAATAGAAATGCTTAAAGAAATTGGAAATCTGATACCCTGTGAGAAGTTTCTGAAAGAGGGAATGCAAGTCCCGAGGTTGTTGATAAACGACTGGCTGTGGCCAGAGCTCAGGTCCTCCAGTAGATTCGTCATTGATTTCTTGAGGTGATTTTAGAATGGAGGCAGAAGACAACTGCAGGTCCACTTCGACATCGAGCCACGATCTTACCATTGCCCAACAAGCAGCCTATTCATTCTCAATAGCAGAAAGTTACTCCTTGCAGATGATCATCAATGAAACAAGGGCACACTGACTTCATAAGAGGATCCTCACACAGAGGGTGAAGAAGAATTAGATATCACTCAAACAAATTACTGGTTCTCCTAAACATGTGGGTGACACGGCCTGTGCACTTACCTCCCAAGTGAAGCATACAGGTAGCATGCGTTTCACATTTCCACACTGCGATGCAAATATGGCAGCTTCGTACTTTGACTCATGTGGACCGTCTCCTATGTTCTGCATTGTTTGACAAAGACCAAGAGTGTTATTTACATGGAAATAGGAAACAATATTTTCATCTTCATATTATCGTTTCTTGAACAATGATGGTGCTCTCACCCAATATATTGTAACTTAGAAAGCTAAGAAACTAAACTGCAATTTCAGGGAGAAAGTCTATCCGCTTAGAGGAAGCAAGAACAACGCAAATAAAAAGATATTGGAAGGATCAAAACTGAATGCATTACTCACATTAGATGCAGCAAAGCAGGCCCATTTCCAAAGACGCCGCTGATGACCGGATCCACTCTCTAGTTCAACAGCCTTCAAGCTCCGATCTCTTCCTCTGCCATAGGCGTTGGGACTCCAGTCCCTAGATTTGCGCTTCCAGGCTTCTACAGTGGGTGATGGCCCTAGCTCACCACAACCACCTAAACTAGCTGCCCTCCAAGCCTGCGGTAAATCCATGCCGTAAGTTTTGGAAAGCAGATTGTTACTTGGATAATTGTAACACTTGAAGTATAAAGTTAAAAATTCTGACAAAATACTGCATGACTCCAGAGGTTTAAAAAATTATTCGACCCAAAGTGGCTACCTGTCCAGCTGAACGACAAAGATCTTGAGCCTCTTCTAGTCTTCCTGCAAGAAGTAGCTTCCATACATCCTCCAAAAGACTTTCCTCCAATTTCTGATAGAGTATAAGAGTACTGAAATGAAATCTTGTAGCTTGTTGAATGGATTTCGAACAGAACTTCAAGGGTCAACGAGTTTTGAAAGAGAAACCACTTCCAGACACCTCAATATGTTATACTAACACAGTCAACATACAATAATTTGTCTCATATATGTGCCAAGACAAATATAAAGAAGTCCAGTATTCCTCTCTCGTCGACGAACACTAGTAAAGCTAGTAGCAAGCTCAGTTTCTCCAGATCTGACACCAAAATCATACCGTAAAATTTCAAGATTTCAATGGAACTCAAGCACTTGACTCATAAAGGGACAATAACCTGATCCTCCGAGTGAAGTTGAGCCTGCTCTCGAGAAGGAGCATCTGGGTCTAGATGCTGAACGATACCACCTGTCTTCTTCCTAATGGCGCTCTGAGTATGTCGCCACACTCCAAGCTTTTGAGCATATGACCCGGCGTACCAGCCCTTGTGCTGTGAACGGACAATTGGCTAGTTCAGTTTTGGATCCTTATATTCTCGTCGGTCTTCAAATTGATGCGAATATATCAGTATACATTGTATTGCACCAAGGACAGAGGAGAGAAAACGCATATTAAATAGCCGTCATACTTTCTTCTCGTAGTCCAATTCCTTTGAAGCGAGGGTTTCCAGCCATTGAACAATACGGGAGCAAAGTTGGGCATTTTGATCACTTGCGATAAACTCACAAGCTTCTTCCTCAGATGTGACAGGAGTCTGGCACAAGGCAATACCATTAAAGGTTATCTGGGATGGAGGTTTGTCATTGAAAAGGCTGGAAATATACTTTGTCAAATAACAGTGCATACTATAGAAGTACAAAACCTAAACTTTTTCAACAAAACAAACAAAAACCAGAAACGTGGAACCTCTCAACGATACAATTTTATTCATCTCTGAGGCATGGTCGGAAAGTACATCATCGTCATCATCCAGATACATTTCCTCGCTACCTGCACATTCGGTGCATATACCAGTCAAACTCCTTCATTTGAAATGATTGTGGATTCTCAAGGGTTTTACATAAAAGATTGTTTAGGCAAGGAGCGAATAAGCGTGTGAGGTGCAGAGAGAGGAGAGGTTGAAGTAATAGAAGGGAAGTGAGATGACGTAGAACAATTAGAGTGCGAAGTTGGCAGCGTGAAGTAGCAGTGTTTCGACATAAACTTTCAAAATTAGGCTGTCACAAAAGGGAGGTCAAGGGAAATTCAAAGGGACTTGATGGATATTGGGTTTCCGCTGTAACCTTCCACCTCTGTCCAGCAAGCAAAGTAGAAGGCAGCAGAAGAGGCCGACAAGTGATTTTATTCAGGAACAGATCAGGCTAAGATTGAAGGATGAAGATTCCAAGCGGCCTATTCGGGCTTTGGGTGCCGTACAGAACAGGAACCGAGGACTACGAGCTCAATTTCAATCAAGATTCATATATTGATTCCATGTTGGTAGATTAGATTGCATGAGTCGATTCTTACTCTTGCCAAATAAATACCACAAGAGGGACCAAGAAGCAGCTTCTCCATGAAGCATCAAAGCCTTCTGCCTCATCAGGCGGTCCTCTGTCACTCGATGCGTCTCTGAGGCTTCCTCTCTGCATTAACAACCAAGAAATCCACATCTAGCTCCAACCTCTTCCTATTAATCTCACCTAAATTGCTACAAGGCATACAACCAGGTGATAATATTCACAACCTTCAAAATAATAGCTGATGTTGTCGACGTTTACTAAGTGAACGACATACAAGAAAATACAAAATGCACAAATGTTGATACAAAGACATTGCAAATTCTGTACCTGACAAGATCCACAAGATCACGACATACTGCTTCATACTGTAACATCAGCTCTGGAAAGGAAAAGTGACCTGAATACAGAACCAAAGAGATCAAGTTAAACAAATAATCTCATAACAGGATAATGAAAACAATTTAGACAATTGATAGAAAATTCTGCTAATATAATACATGACAAGCATTAATGTCTCAATAAGATATTCATTTTCCTAAAGTAGATACGGACTTTCTACTGATTAAAACCATGGCGCGGTTGGACAGACCATGAAACGATGCCTCAGCCGAGAGCTATCATTCGGCCTGAACAAGTTTTCCCACTAAAGTTGGCGACCTTGAACATAAGTTAACGTATGTGTCTTCATTGCATCTAGACGAAAGAAGAATGTATCATGAAGCTACAGCTATATCTTCGTACACATCCCACAGTAACATATTCCACAGTGAAAATGACACTTTACACAAAAAAATAACTTCATGGACAGGAGGCGCAATACAGATAATTTTCAACGGGCAGAAAAAGAGAGAAATATTCGATTGATAACCTTGAAAAGTCGCATCTAAAATTCCAGCAAAACGCGCAAAAGACTCCTCCGCACTGTCAGTTACCTCCAGCTGGTCCTCCTGTAAATAGCAAAAGTTATCAATTCAAAGTCTCGGCAATGCCTTGAGTTGAAAAAATCCGGAAAGTTTTCCTCTTCACACGAGGGGAGATTGAAGAAAGAAGCGTCTTAAGATTCAAAATCTGGGCTCCTTTGTGTGTAAACACATAATTTGGCCCATCATGCTGCAAACTTTTATTCCTGCATATCTTCAGCGTTAAAAATGTAATTTACGTTTTTCTACGGAAAAAAGCAGGGCCCAACACAACATGTTTTTATGGTTTCACAATTTACCTCCCTTTCAGATCACTTTCCAAATGCAGCAGCTGTGTCTGCAATTCAATTGCATCTCTTCGAGAGAGAAATGTAACTGACTACAAAATGGTATAGGTTCAGAAACGACAGAAAACACACCTTCTTGACAGTTTTCAATATGATAGGAGAAGAAATCGGAGTGGCAGTCAGCGTGACTCTACGTTGTTGTTCACGGGTCGTTGGAGTCCGGGCATGGCTGATGGGCACATTCAACCCTTCTGTCAAATCTCCTACCTCACGACCTTCTCCTGTGCCAAACAGCTTTCTCGGAATCGGTGTCTTCAAATCTTCTCCTCCTGAATCCCATCGCTCCCAGGGCGAGGCATCCGGCAAGGACTGAGGAGAAGCGTATCGCTCACCCGTTGGAGATCCAAAACCACCACCAAATGGTAGAGGTCCCTTGACCTCGTCCGCGCCTGAGAACAAACCAATCGACGATCGTCTTTTCCTGAACCACAAGAAAGTCAGCTCAATCTCAACTTCAGCGACAACAAGAAAACGAAAATGAAGGCCAAAACTGGAGCAGCACAAATGAAATCACCAGAAAACACAACGAAAAATGCACCTGTATCGTCGAAATTGCTGGCGACCACCACTGTCTGGAGTATCTTGAGGAGAGCTATCATGGCTCTGCAAGGTATCACGAGCTGGGGGTGAACCCACACCTCCGCTCATTGTGAAAAATGCCGGCCAATGCCAGCGGAACAATTAGACGTCCAACCGAACGTCGAGTTAGAGACCTACTTTCGCCTCTTTTTCTACCCTCCAATGCTGACGAATTCAAATTCTTCGATAGAACATCGAGACGAGAGCGTGATAGAAGCAGAAGGGAAACATCGATGCAGAAGCGGAAAACAAACATTGCTTGGGTTTAAGGTAACGGACGGCCGGAATCTTGTCACGTCATGTCCAACCATTAGTTACGGTCGGTGTTAAACCCACACGGTCTGGAAAGGAGTACTAGACCGCATATATCACATCAATGAAATTGTATAAGGGATTTCCTCCCGAGGTGTACTTGTTCCGTCTCCGTTTCCTCCTCTGTATTCCCGCATGAGGGGCCTTTCCCAACCGCTATCTTCTCGTCCTCGCCATATCGTGGCTTTTAAGAATAATTGGACCATTTCTTTAAGGTTTCGCTGTTATTGTATTTATTCACTTCTCCTCTTAATTGCCAGACTGCTATTTTCATCACATATTTTAACCCTCTCTCACACAAGATGAAATTCTGACTTGGCATGTTCGGAGGATACTTAAATTGCTTGGTGCAGGACCTAAATCTCATCATTGACGCTCATCCAACACTTTTCATTTGCATACATTAAGTGGACCAGAATGTTGATTATGCTCAAAATTATCAGATAAAGATTCCCCTAATAATCATGAATATATTGAGAAAATACTAATAAGCTTTCGTGATCTTTTTTTACACTTGCTGAAGTGTCTTTACTACATCTGTACTTATGCCTCTATCATTAAGCAAATTAGTTGTACTTTCATGATAGCAACGGACGATCAAATCTCAAAAGCCCATACGTGTTAGATGGGGAGAGAGAGAGACATCTTATCGGTAACCTCATTGATGAATTTCAAAATATTTTCGAGCAACATCACAATCCAATACATAAGAGAAATCTTAAACATCTCCAAGTTGCAATGGCTTTTGGAGTATTCATGTGAGATACAAGTGACGTAAAACTAAATATATTGACTTAGTGTATATATATATATATATATATATTATCTTTACCTTGATATGGATGTTATATCTCACATCATATACTACCCGGATGAATATATTAAGCTTAGTAGTTAATCGTTTGAACGTTAGCATTTTATGTGAAAGAAATGTACGGCACAAAATATCGTAACGTACGTTTGCTCTTGGAAATTGTGTCTCGCGTTACAATGACAAGAGACAAAATTTCAGTTGTATTTTGCTGTGTACAGTGGACGCCATTTTTTTTATTGATCGGACATTATTAAAGTGCTTAATCCTCACAAGGGTACATCACAGTAATCAGAATCAGTGCTCCCAAGCTCCGGCAAATTTTATTATCATCTGATGACTCCGAAATACTATTAAAAAAATGGATTGAAGTCACATGGGACCGAGCTTCTTGGAAATGAGTTGGAACGGGCTAACATCATGTCTGACAGCAGCAGAGCACTTCCTTCACATGCCGTGACACATACATTCTGAACAGATGCTGCTGTCCAGACTAAGACGAGACGCAAAACCCTCCGAAATCATTCACAGTGTTTTCTTTCAATTTTGTGACATGATCCGATCGAAGCATCGCCTCCAGTAGCAGTTCAGCAGTGTAGTCGATTCCTAACTCCAATCCTGTGCAATTTTGCGACCAATTGGTCTATCTAGCTAAAGATCTTATCTCCTTCGATGGCCAGTTGTGTGAATCTTGTCGATCAAGCTTAATCGAAAGGAGAGCCGACGGGTGTAGGGAACGTCATCTGAGCCGCTTTCTCTTCAAGGTTAGATATTTTGGCCTGATAACATGCTCAATTTTCGCGAAGAGATTTTGTTCTGAGTGGGATATCTGTATGAGCTGGGATGATGAGAGTGGAGAGATTTCTGGTTTGTCCAGAACCATTGTCACCGGAGTCCAAAGCTTAGATCGGTCCGTTTGAAAGGTGAAGTCCAACCCATAGACACTGAATTCTAAGATCTGTTACCGACTTTGTCTCTGCTCCCTTATCCAGATGTACTTAGGTGACAATATTTTCGCAGATGTTTTTTTAGCTCGTTCTCGTTCCGGCGTGGAACATCTTTGAATTTCTCTTCGTTCACTTCTTCGTTAGCTTGAGCTTTAAATTGTGAGAAGCTATTTAAGCCGAAGCAATGGTGTGTTTCAAAGCTCATGACTTTAGATTGACTATAACCGAGAAGGAGTGTTGTGTTAGACTCGTTTCTACAAGATGATGGGCTGATTAGTAAAGATTCACATGTATCTGTAAACAAAAGGTAAATTGATATAGGATGAGTCTCTTCATGATTAGTCTTCTTCGTTCACAACAGCAAAAGTTGTGGTATGCACTCCCCAGTTGCGAGCAATTAGGCTATGCTCGGAGTTTGTGTCAAATAGTTCGTTGACTTTTGTATCATGTTTTGTCAACTCTGACGAATTTATTTACAGTCAGATGATGTTAGGGTTTATTATAGAAATTGGGTACAGTGGTCACTCGATAGAAGCAGAAGTCTATGGGTGTCTGCCAATTACATCTAAATAAAAACTGTGCGTGTCTCGTTCGTCATGGGGTGCTAGCGTGTAATTTCCAACGTGCATGGAGTTTCCTTCGGTCGATAACAGAATAAGCTGGATTGTTCCCATTATCTGTGTAGACATGTTTCTGCAATTTTTCTCTGCAGTAGGACAATTTACGATGATCTTTGTACGGAACCTGAGTTTCAATATTACACTGGTGATAACTTTGCGTAACTTTTCAGGCAGACACTTCTGATTACAGAAGGCGAGAATCATGACGGGGACTTATGCCCCTCCAGGGTATATGGAGGCGCCGCAGGGCGAGCCACTTATTGAAGATTCTTCGTCTCACCTGAATTTTGACGAGCACGCTCCACGGCAGGGTCAGCTGCGTTGGAGCTCTGGCATTTGTGCTTGCTGTGATGACGTACCAATCTGTGAGTATCCATTATGTTTCAAGTAGAGCAGAGGAAAATTCCTCAGAACGACTGTTGTCTGCTACGTTGGCATCTTGATATTGGTCTGCGTTTTACTGACCATGGCTTCACATCGAAGATTTGCGCAATCTTAAGTCTGAGCACAAGTTCTATGGATGACCTCTCCGACAGATATGGTGCTTATTACATGTTGCTGTCAAATGGTTTCAACCAAAGATTTGATATGTTTCATGGGAGCAGTCAAAGATCCTCTGCTTTGACAGGGTTGACATAACAGAGACGAAGTAGGGAATAGTATCATGCTATTTATTCTTCTGCTGAGTTGATGGATGCTTAAGCTGTAGAAGAGTTCGAAATGCTCGGCGAGCTGTTTGCTCAGATGGCTAAGATACATTTGTAACTCTTTTCTTGCTCAAATACTACGTACGTGCCTGCCTACTTCTTGGGGTAGTTCTTCAACTCGTACTTAATGGTCTACGACATGTTTTAGTGGTATTGTCTTAAATCACGACTGCGGATGCTGTAATTTGATGATCATGGTCGAGTGTGTTGTGTTTCCCCACTACCCATATTTGTGATTTCCACCTGCAACCAGGAAGGAAGAACATCAACTGATTATGTCTTCATTGCAGGTTGCTTGGGTTGCTGGTGCCCTTGTGTACTTTTCGGCCAAAATGTTGAGATGCTCGAAGGGAAGCCGTGGATTGGACCTTGCCTCATGCATTTCTTGCTCTGGGGTGTCGTAACGGGCCTTTGTTGTGCGTTAACGGAGGGTACTATTGTTGGCGTTCTTGGTTCATGTGTACCCTGCTATGTTTGCAGCTATAGAAAAGCACTGCGTACAAGATATAACTTGGAGGTGAGAATTCATAATATACATTCATCTTGTGTCGTTTCTTTTGACCTTACTTTCCTTCTGCTAATCTACGCCCTCGGGGCAAATAAGTATCAGTAGTTCTGAAAATATCCATATGGCTATCGCAGGATGCACCATGCGGTGATTTTTTGACCCACCTCTGCTGTCACATGTGTGCCAATTGCCAAGAACATCGGGAGTTGACCGAGCGGACATCCACAGGAGTGGGACTACCTGTTGTAGTTCCACCTCCGTTACAAGTTATGGGTGCACCTCCTTCCGTGATGAAGCACACACATCCTCAAGGTCATGTTGATCCATTCTGATTTGTGAAATAAACTAAGATACTAGATACAAGAAGCTTGTGGTTTGGTCTTCGGATCGTAGCTCCACCCCAATTTAGAGAATAGAAATTTGGTCTCATGTTGTTTCTCCTGAAGTATATCCTCTTCCAGCGATGTGTATCATGTCAAGATGACAAGCATTTGCGGAAGGTTTTAGTGCTGGCTAGTGACCTACGTCGAGTTATTCTGGAGTATGACCACCTACTTTGAACACCTCATGCAGTCTTACGGGCAGGTTTTTGCAAGATAAAAGTTTTCCAGTAGCTTTCATATACAATGCATTGACTGGTAGAAAAGATAGGACGTGGGGAAGAGTGACGCAAGATTTTAGCGACTTGAAGCTGTCGCTTGTAACTTTTGCGCACATATGAGATTGCATCATGAACAAGAGCATGCTATCTCGACACATGGAAGTTGTACTGACTGTCCTTTACTTTCGTATAAAAGATCTTTGTTCTACAAGTCTCACCTGCGTCTCCTTGTGCTTTGTGTATTTCTTGCTTGGTCTTCTACGATAAGTTGAGTCTAGTGAGATGTTTTATAAAGCTCCTCGGAGTACTATGTAAGCACAGTTTGTTTCTAAGGCGCTATTCTTGGAAAAAAGGGCTATGGTCTAAGAAATTACAGAATCTTGCAATGCTCAGTGGTCTGAGTGATCCAGCTATCGATTGATGTGATGAGTTGGTTTGTCACAATCACATAACAGGACGTGTTTTGGGCAGATTAACCGCGGAGTTATATAGTAGGAAGCCGTTATAGATCTCGCTACCGCTTTCTGATTATGAGCTCATAGGACCTCTTCCCAAACCCCCATCTTTGAAATTGAGGTCGAACTCATATATGTATGTTCACTTCTGCTGAATACATGGGAACTACTGAGTGAAAATGACATGCATTTTTTATTTTGTACACAATATAGGAACTACTGTGGAAAAGTCTAAACAACAATCAGCAGTGAATAGAAAACAATCATATAACATGATTGTTGAACTAATATTCTTCATAACAACCTGTCAAAAATGTTTCTGAAATAATTATAAATAATAAGTAAAGAAACACGGACACTATTTCCTTTGATATGGTAAGAACTCTTCATTCATGATTATTAATAGTTGCTTCACAAAATGTTCTTGCATTTTTAGAGTGGCATGTGAACAATCAATATCCATTCAAGTCAAAGAAACAAAGAGAATAAACTATTATATATATCTCTATTATGAAAATTTTAAATACTATTTCTCTATCTGTCAATGTCACGTGTAGAATAGATAATATTTTATTCTACACGTGACATATTAAGTCAATTTTCATTTGAACTATCGACAAAACATAGCCTTTACCATGTGTAACTGTCATTGTACTAAAGTGTGCAATATTAGTTGTATAGTTACACACATACATATATGAATAAACAATAATTAGATGATAGAATCATGTCAACGTGATTCTTTATATAGTAATTTATAAGAACCATTTAAAAATATATTCTAATAAAGATTATTTGTGATGTTGTTATTGTACAAGTGTATTGTCCATATACCAATTCATCTAAGTTTGATCCTTATATTCATTCTTTGTTTTCATGTTATTTTATATTTGACCTGTTGCCGTCATGGTAGCATAATATATATAAATGATATCTGCATCTTATTTGATATATATACATAGAGGACTTTAACGTAATTATTTATCCTATCACTTTATGATATTTATGTGTATATTTCATATTATCAAAATGATGATTTTTAACCATCTTGCTAAATAGTTATCATTTTGATTATATGAAATATACAACATATTTTTTTTGATAATTTTACTGATTCAAAACATATTCATTTATTGATAATTTACTTTTTTTTTCTCTTTTTACTTCATATGGTTTTAAAAATGTTACTAATTCATTTCATTATACGCATATCATACACTTGTATGTGTGGCATATGTTGCATTTATAAATTAATCTAACTCTATAAAAAATTTAATATATAAAATTCTAATCAAATAAGTGTATATATATATATATATATATTGATATGCATTTTATTGATGATGCAAATCGGAGTACCGCGATGGGTAGCCAATATCCACCCATTCAGCTGAGACACCAATGAACATACTTTCATTTTTGCCCACAAAGCTTTATATTGATTAATTGTGCATCGCCCTGTCGGATATTCGAAGTATAAATGAATAACTATGGAATATGTTACACATCAGGATTACACATTACGATATGTGATTTCATCTATAATGTGATATGAAATCTTATCTCATAAATTATTGTATTCTTTGCTATGTAAAGTTAAAAGCTTGTTTATTTTCTCCATCAACATCTTAGAATGTTAAGTAATTTTGGATCCGAAGATAAAAAGATGAATAGCAAATGAAAGAAAACTGAAGATGACTGCGTTCTCATGCTACTCAGGACCACATTACTATACTGTACCTTACTTATTTATTTGGTGGAAGTTGATTGAACTGAAAATCTAATGTATTTATATGAATGAGATCATCAAATTATGAATCAGTATGTAACTATTTACAATAAATCATTGGCAAGTCTCTCTTTTTAAAATCACTTCAAAATATTTCTAAGTAGATGATGGACCGATGTGTATAAGTTGGGTAGATAATGGGTATGGACAAGGTGCCATAGATGGGATAATGGGTCGGTACAGTTGACTCGCTTGCAACTATGGGTCGGGAATGGATACAATTATGAAGTCCAACGCATGACTCTAATGCAAATACAGTTCAGATCAAATATGTGTATTTATAAAATAACTTTGAAGTATCATATTGCAAAATTAATCATGTTTTGATAAAAATAAATTAAGAAGTTTTAATATCTAAATTTGAGATTTTATTATATAAATTCTTATATTCAATTTACACTCATTCAAATAATGTCAACTTTTATTCAGAAGTAATGAAATATGAAATTTTCTATTGGATGTTGTGGATTAGATGTTTTTCAAAATATCATAGATTACATGAAAAGTTTAGTTTTTTGAGTTAGATTGATTGAAATCTGCACATATGTTAATTTGACTACATAGGAATAATTATGGAACATCTTTTTAACTACAAGGTATAAATGTTCAACTACAGAAATATTCAAGAAATTATGTAGACTAAACATTTTAAAAACATTTCACTGTGATTGCATGAGAAAGAGTAATATATTACGTATATTTGAGTAGACCACTGTCTTATGATCTTGAAGAGGAGTACATGTCTATAACTTTCACATAGTCTTTTAGTATGTGAATTTTTGTGAATTTTTAAAATATATTATTAAAATTTGAAAAATGTACATAATTTATGCATCCTTTTCAACATAAAAAATAATTTCAAAGTCAACATATTTAGAGTATCAAATAGTTAGATTTTTTATTATGAATAAAACCCCAAATTTTCTAGTGCATATTAGAATTGTCTATATTTCATATAAAACACAAATCAATATTACATTTACATCTAAAAGACAATGAATATTTGAAAAAAATAATGTAAATTCAAACGTTTACTATTTACCGTAACACTAGAATAAAAAAAAGTTAATCGATAGATATAGAAAGAATCTGAAAATAATAGATTCATAAATACATCTCTATATTCAATCTTTTAACTCTTCAAGAAAATAACATAAAGTCTTCATTCACACAACATTTTTGTGTTTCATTATAAAAAAATCTTTACTGTTAGATTGTCGCACTTAAATCACCATTTAATAAGCACATTTTATTGAGGTTCTCTCCAAATAAAAGTTTTTAATTCAAACTTTTTCTCAACTTGATAAAATTGTTCTCTAATTTTAGGTAAAAAAATAATTTAAAAAAATAATTGTATACATGAATATATCATGAATCCAATAGAGTTGTAGTTTACATTATTGATGTAAAATTTTTAAGTTATTTAATAAATTACTAATGTATTAAAAGTGAACTCAAGACTACATATATGATTAACTGTAAATAATTATTCTTACAAATACATGAATCAGAGATTGATAAAACTAAAGTAAGAAAAATATTATCATTATTGAAAACTTAAAAAATTTAATATACTTATTTTTTTCTTATATGAAATATTTGATATTAGATTTATTTATTTTTTTCAAAAATATAGGAAGTCATTATCAAAACTGAAATTTTTTCTGATTTTTTATAACATTTTTAAATTTTTTCATCCATTTTTTTAATTAGAAATTTGGAAAAGAATTCATGAAAATAGGGGTTTTGATGATATATTGGTGTGAATATCATTAAGAAATTAAATTTAAAAAAAATTGAAATTTAAATCAGAGAAACATATCTTGTGATCACTCATATTCCTAAAGAATTGCTTATTTCAGAGTATTGAAAATGATAAAGTCATTTGATGAATCAGTTTATTCTATGTGATGAGATGTATTGTATTAATATTTCGTTTTTGTGTATTTGTGTTGTCTTTCCATAAAACATGAAGTTTATCTTTATATTGAAAAAAATTTATTTAATTTTTAAACAAATTTTACATCAAAGTTAGATGATCAACTTTAAAATTTTCAGCTCTAGAGAAATAATTAATTTGAAAATTTTCTTCAATTTATGAGTATTTTGTGGCACCATGTCAATAATCCTTTACATATGAATATTAAAATTATAAAATTTTAATACATATTCAAATCTAGTATTTAATTTCCTGATTATATGTGGTTTTTTAGTTAAAAATTGACCATTATATATATATATATATTCTACGAGAATTTACTCAAAGCAAACGTGTTTTAAGTTGTATTAGATTGTTATATGAAAATAAGCATAGGATTTTAATTTGATAAAAAAACACATGCAATATTCAATTGTAGAAATTGGATTAAGTTCAGATGACCTCTTAATGATTTCATTGTAGTCATTTGATTTATCAGGATAATTATTGCAGGGTAAATATGACTAGTATGTGGATACATAATGTAGTGTCGACATGCAAATCACATCATATCTAGACATTGCTATTATTTGGTCATCCACTCCTATACCCGATGGTTAAACGTAAAATAGTCTTCTTATATTTTAGCGTCCTTTACTTGCTATTTACTATTTTACGTATCCCACGTTACGGAATTTTAGCGTTCAACCATGGTTTCTTCTACAGTGTTGTGCCGATGAAGGGTCCACCTGCCCCATATGGACCCGGCCTTGTTTTGCTCTTAACGAAAGAAACACACGGCTTGTTATTTTAGTACCAGAGTACTGTACAGTACTGCTCTCCTGCACTAGAAAGCAGTGATCGGATTGTTTTGCTGAAACCCAGTCGCGTAAACCCGACGATTTTTGATCGAATGGCTGAAGCTTAAGGAGGTGGTCGAGTGGCGACAGATCTGTGACGTTCAGTTCACTGGTCGACGGTTCAGATCCCGGTTGCAGCTTTTGGAAAGATGCAAAAAGATGAAGGACAATGTTTCATTCCAGCGGTCGATCCGCCGCGAGCGACACAAAAGACGATCGTTTGATCTAAGGGCCTATAGAGTTCGTGTCGAACTAGGGGTCGGTGTTGATTTTCCTCAACAGGTACCATCCCTCCGTGGTAGCGTAATCAGCGGAATAAGAAAGAGAAGAAAAGGAAACGGAAGAAAAGAAAAGGAAAGGAAAGGAAAGAGTACAGGCGCAATCCGGACTGAATTTCTTATTTCCCGGTAGACAGGTCGGACCTCGCAGGGTGGACCGGGCGGAAGGCCACAGATTCACATTCTGCTTATGCCGCGACAGTAGATATTCATTGCATATTCATATGCATCCATCCGGTCCAAACATGGGATCTCCTCTCCTTGCATTCCCATCGGAATCTGGATTCCCACCCATGCCGCTTGGATGTGGTTCTGCGGCATTTAATTCGGCCCCGGAGTGAAAGAGAATGCACGGGATTCCTGCTCGGCCCACCGGGGGGACCTCTCCCGAGCGACTCGAGAGTCGATTTGTTAGGCCGGGGCGTCGATGAAGGGTCCTCTGCCTGGGCCTCTGACCCCGGCAGGCCCTCTAGGAAGGTTAGAATCTTGACCGCAGGCAGCGTAGAGAGGGAGACTCGGGCCAGAGGGGAGGCGATCGAGAGGACGAGCGGGGGCGAGGAAGATCGGACGGCTGCGGTTGGAGGTGGTGGAGGAGCGGAGGGGAGCGGGGAGACGGGTGACGGGTGAGTGGAGAATCTTCAGGGTCGGGTGTCACACGTGGCTGTCAGCCTTTTTCGAGGCGAGACAGGGGTTTTAAATAGGTCGCTTGTTCTGTAGCGCAAGGTGAGCGTTGTTGTCGAGCCAGACGTGTCGATCCTCGGGGGATATGCACTGTGGACCCTACAGGAGCGCTTTTGCCCTCTCATGCAACGTTGGGATCGATCGTGAGCCAGTGCGACGCTGCCACATTCGTAATCCTCAGCTCGTTGTTTTCTGGGTCGCTTCTTGGCTTTCTTTCAGCGTGACTGCGTGCGTTGATTGACGATGTGCAACCGGAGATTTTTCTTGAACTAGACTTGCAATACCGGAGGGTAGCTTTTCGCTTGGATCTGATTTCACCCGGTCGTTGTGTTTTGGATCGTTACCGTCTGGTGCGATAAATAGAATCTCGCATTGCAAGTGAGCACAGTCCTTCGGTCGACAAATTCTGGATTGCAGTCGAGCGAGAGACCAGGCAATGCGGCAGAGGGGCAGCAGCAATAACAAACGCTCGCGCAGCTTTTCCCGCACTCGTATCGCCATTGAGGGATCTTGAAGCGCAGCGTTTCCGCCTTAAGAAGGGAAATCCTACCACTTAAATGCAAGCTGCTTGAGTTCCAGGTCCAGGGAGGCTCAGCTCACAGCTATCAAAGCCTTACCAGAACTCAGCAGCACCGCGTACCGTGCCGCTCGCAATATCCAGAGGTGTACGCGATCCACTATAGTTCGAGTTCAAAGTGCAGTAACCATGACAATTACCGGTAATATGTCAGCTCCTCTGTGCAGAGTAATGATTTGGTTCTGTAGCGTTTCTCTCAAATTCCGGTTCCTCACGTTGCAAGCTCTCAATTGACCTTCCAGAGTTGCGTGTATGCACTTTTCTCAAATCCGCCGAGTCCATCAAAGAGATTCTTCGGCGGACGTTACAGTAATTGTCTTCGTGCAATGACGAAATAACTTTCAAAGGATTCACAGATACACTGATCTGTTTTGATATGCACGTCGTTCGTAGCTGCATTGCATTTGCGTGTGGGGTCTCGTGTACCTACTATTAAGGACATTGTGAGAAGACCCCAACCCCCTTGACCTGAATGGTTTGGTTCGAAATTGGTTGGTTAATGGCCCTCGATTCTCTTTTTGGCACACTTTGTACTGCATTGACTGTGTTCAAGATCTCTATTTGATCACATGTCGCAACACAGACTTCGTCTGTCTGAGAGACTAGTTTTCGAGATGTAGATCCCAGTGTGAACGCAGCTATTCTTTTCTTGTTCCTAAACTACGGCCTCCCCGTATGAAAGCCCGTCAGTCAACGCATTTGGGGCAGGATGAAAAGATACACTAAGGTTTCTACATGATGTCATACCTCGAAAGCGGCATACACGCATCTCAGTAATGCACACCTGTTCGTGTTACATCTCTTGACTTATAGGACATCTCACTTGGACACTTGGAGTATTTTTTATTTTCTCACTCAATGACTCTGTCGACCATGCACTGGCATGTAGTATTTTGACGTTTGAAAGCGTCTATTAGTAAACAAGGTGCAACTTACCCGAGTAGTCGCACATGTATAGGAGTTGCGTAGGACACATGTCGGCATATCTTGTTTAGCATTCAGGACGGCCAATGGGAAGCGATCTGTGGCAGTTCCAAGAGGATCCTTATAAGCGACTTGACAGTCCACGTGAAAGAACTTTTAGTCAGATTTGAAGTGAAGTATATTTTTGTCTTTACACGGATATTCCTTTCAGTACGTACTGGACAGTTGCAACCAAACTGTACATATATGAATGTAGAGATCATCTCACTAGTTGGCGATTCGATTAAGCAGATGAGAGGTCTCTGCAAAACAACTATTGGAAGGAGCATACAGTGGAGTTGAGCATTGAAGCCATGATGCTCGACAGTCAGGCCCAGAAGCTTGATAAGGAGGAAAGGCCCGAGGTGAGGTTTCTGAACACTTTCTTAATCGATCTCAGGGGAGTGATATCGAACTCGGAAGTTGGAATGGTGGGCCTATTCCAACTTCGCTGATTAGTCAATACTGACGGCCAATGTGATCGCGTGCGATTTTATATTGGCTGTGAAGCTTTGACAATATTGCCTGCACGCAAGAAGAGCAATTATGGGACCAGAATCTTGTCTTCCTTTCACGGCCACCTCCTTCACGTCTCCTACTTTCCACGGTTTTGCAAGTTTCACTGCTCTTTGTACCAGCCACTTTCTTGTCTTCGAGCTTACTCGTCCTGAAGTAGACAAGTTTCAATCAAGATAGAGCTAGATTATGCTCTTGTATCGCAATTTCTCATACTACGCTCTGTGATTACCAATGCATGTCGACCCCCACAGATCCTTGCATCGATCCCTGATATCCATGGAAAGTCGGTGATTGAGCTGGGCGCGGGCATCGGACGATTTACCGGGGAGCTGGCCAAGATCGCAGGCGATGTGCTAGCATGTGACTTCATGGAGAATGCAGTTGAGAAGGTGAAGATATTGCCATTTACATTTGTGTATACAAATCATGGCCGTGTTGAACAATTGATTTCATGTAACGAAATCTAGTTCCTGAAGTACGATTTTGACCCATGAACAGAACAAGGAGGTGAATGGCAAGTATGAAAACGTGCGATTTTTGTGTGCCGACGTCACCTCCCCAGACTTGGACATACCAGCGGAGTCTGCTGATCTTGTCTTCTCCAACTGGCTCCTCATGTACCTGTCTGACGACGAGGTAAGCAGATAAATTTGACACCGAGAACCTACTCGTTTTTAAAATTGCGACCCACAAACAGAGCATTCCAAAGAATCCCTTAGCTTTGTAGAATGATAGCATTATAACGCCCTTCGTCAAGCTTCCTGACCTGAAGACATCTAGCCAGGAGAACTTCCGGTATTCCTTACTAGATCTCATTTCATAGATAATCATCGCACTGGTTTCTTTCAAGACTTTCAGTTCTCTAGTTGATTCCAATTTAATCGTCATCCAACACTAGAATTATGTTTGATCAACTTCTGTCAATTGGTCTATATTTTTTACTCGCAATCGACATGTTGTGATGACTGGTAAAGGTCAAAGGCCTGGCAGCCAGAGTGCTGAACTGGATCAAACCTGGAGGTCACATCTTCTTTCGAGAATCTTGCTTTCATCAGTCGGGAGACCACAAACGCCTAAACAACCCAACACATTATCGTTCTCCCAGTTTCTACCACAAGGTTGGTGGTGTTCCGTTAATTATTTCTATTTGTTTTCAAAAGTCGTGGATCCAGGAGCGATGTGAGCTAAGTTCTGACTCTGCGTTCGGAGTGTCCATAGGTTTTCGAGGAGTGCGTTGTTGAAAAAGAAAATGGAACATTTGCCGAGTTTAATTTGGTGAATTCCAAGTGCGTTGGGGCATACGTACGCAACAAGAAGAACCAGAATCAGGTACGTGGATTTGACGCCCTACTCCGAATTGGCACATCCACTTCCAGTTTTCTGAAGAGATAGTTGTCTTCTTTGCCGGTCGATATCAATATTCTCAGTATATATCGTTTTTCACTCCAAAGCTTTGCCTGTTGCAGGTTTGCTGGTTATGGCAAAAGGTTGCATCTGCCGGTCCTGTGGACCGAGGGTTCCAGCAATTTTTAGATACTGTACAGTACACAAACACTGGAATTCTGCGTTATGAACGCATCTTTGGCGAAGGTTTCGTCAGTACTGGTGGAATAAGTATGTCGCTTTTTCCTTCAGGAAATCAAAACGCTTCTGCGTGCTTTTTGGTCGATAAATTATTGAAAAATTTTTAAAAAATTATTACTTCTACGCTCACTTGTATCCTGAACCTTATTTTGCAGAAACCACTGAAGAGTTCGTGGAAATGCTAAACTTGAAGCCAGGCAATGTTGTTTTGGACGTGGGCTGTGGTATCGGAGGTGGAGACTTTTACATGGCAGAGAAATATGATGTAGAGGTTATAGGAATTGATCTGTCCGTCAATATGATCTCCATCGCCTTGGAGCGGGCAATTGGATTGAATTGTGCATGTCAGTTCGAAGTTGCTGATTGCACCACAAAGGAGTATCCGGATGAGACATTTGACGTGGTCTACAGTAGAGATACTATTCTGCATATCCAGGTGAATAGGGCTTCTTCCTTAATTCGATTGAATGCAAGCGTCCGTATATTACACGGCCTTGAAGTGTTCTCTCAGACCAAGTGTCTGTATTTTGTTCCACTTACACTTGCAACAATGTTTTGGACCTGTCGTGACGTAAAGAGATAGAGTTTACATACTGAGAAGAGACCACAAAGAGTCAAATTCTGACGTTATAATCTACTTGACAGGACAAACCTGCTCTTTTCAAGAGGTTTTTCAAGTTTCTTAAACCTGGTGGTCGAGTCCTCATCAGCGACTACTGTAGGGCAGAGGGAGAACCTTCTGAAGGCTTCGCTGCCTATATCAAGCAGCGAGGTTATGATCTTCATGACGTGCCAGCTTACGGAAAGGTGATCACTTAAGGAATTTTTTCAATCGACAGTTGCTTCTTTGTTTCATGGTCGATGTGTTGGATCTTCTAGACATGTCATATCCCCTTATCATCGTGTGCTTTACTTTCTTGCAGATGTTGGAAGATGCCGGATTTGTAGATGTCCTGGCTGAGGACCGCACTAATCAGGTAAATATCTGATTCCCTTGTTGTTGTTGGGTTTTTGAAGAGTACATTGTACTTTTCCTTTATCAATTACAGGTAAGATATCCAAGTTATGCAATCTGTCACTTTCTGGTCTGCAGTTTGTGGAGATATTGAACAAGGAGCTTGAAGTTACCAGAGAAGCAAAGGAGAAGTTTATTTCGGACTTTTCAGAGGTAAGTCGGTGTGTTAACTAATGGTTTGAGATCTTATGTCCTATACAGAGCATGCCTAAAATATTGAAGTTAGAGTTTGCCAGGTAAGGTTTTCTCAACAACATCTTCTTTCGACTTCAACCTTAAAATCTAACGTTATATTTGAGTTGTTCAGAACGATTACAACTACATCGTCGAGGGATGGGAAGCTAAGCTGACACGATGTGCTCAGGGTGAGCAGAAGTGGGGCCTATTCCTGGCTTACAAGCCTGGTTCCGCTTGAAATTAGTAGAAAGAGGAAAATCAAATTTGTTCTATTCTCTATACTTTCGAGTAGATATTTCAAACATCCAGCCGGACTGAGATTCCGTATCTGCTGGTGTTTTCATTCAGCCTGTACAAATCACCCATGATTATAGCACGAGTGTACGTACAGAACTTTCCTATCGACGCTATTTCCCTAAAAGTAATGAATTATCTAGGATGATTCATTAAAACAAAACATTGTATTTTTTGACCATAATTCTAGAAAACGAGATGTCAAAGTTTGTACCTTTTCTTCTTTCTTCATGTACACTCAACATTACTACATACAAAACTGCGAAATTTTGTGTAAATTGACTTACGACCCCTTCTTGTAAAATCGTAGATTCTTACCACATGTGGTTCATAATGACTGTAATTGCGTTTTGGAGGCAAAAGACTGATAAGTTGTGAGCGTTTGCACTTACTTGATTTGTCACGCTCCTTCTTTTATCGTCTTCAGTTAACCCAAGTCACAACTTTGGAGTATAAGCATCTTCCGAAGTTCGAGTACCTTTGACTCGAGTTCGAGTAACTTTTAAATACGATTAATATGCTGTACGAATTATCTCAGGAAGATTTGAATGTCGATTTATTTATTGATATATATATATGTAGATATAGGAAGTGGCTAGTTCTCCCTTAGTGTATTCTAATTATCCGTCAGATATCTCACTCTCTCATGGGAACTTAAGGATTCTGGTCTCGTCCACCTAAGATAACGCAACCGAGTTTCAAGACTCCACTTTCCCAACTGACCTACTAATGTCTCCGATGAATGTCTATTGCGAGACTACAGGAAGGTAATTGTAATTAGTATTGGCAATGTGAGTGATAAATAACATAAAATAAGGGATAATTAACCGCTCCCTAGATATAATACTCAGTATTCGTCATTTTGCTTTACATACTCACCTCTCTTTGTATCACGGGATCACTCACTTTGGCTAATCCATTACTTCCACACATCTTGCAGAATTCATTCGAAAGTGTCACAACCGTCGATCCAAACCCAAAGCATTTCATTGATCTTAAACTTAGAACCGTAGTGTATATATTAATAGTATATCTCTGTGTAAGGTGAAATGATACACAGCTATTCTGAAATTTGAGAATTTATTATACGTATATAATATAAGTTGATAGGTAACAAAGTTTACTCTACATGCCAAAAAATGACGGGATCACGAGATCATGATGTAAATATAGTCAAATCAATGTGATGAATTTGAATCAGCTTGCATTCATGCATATTGAAAGTAAATGTATAGTTTTCACAATACTTGCATCAACATAAAGGATTAAACCTGCATGTTAGGATATATCAATAGCAGACACTGAATAGTGCATACTAAAATATGTCTTACTTGCGTAAGAATTATGCTATGTGAGAAACACTCTTCAATTAAACATTGGGTTTAACCAAATTCCAAAACTTGACAAACGGTATGAGTACTTTCCCTACATAATAGAGAATATTATGAGAATCCTGCTCAAGATGTTTGACCGCTAAATTATAGGCCATGGCAATTTAGGAAAAGTAAATAATTCTCGGATTTGAACATAAAAAACATGATGAAGTCATATGAAAGGATGATAAAACATTTTGTGATCACACAAAAGCTTGAAATGTGATCAAATATTCAACAAATTTCTACATCAATTGTGAAAGAGAGCAGCTAGTTATCCATCACTTTACAAAAATCACTCAGCTTGATGTTTGATGCAACCTACAAACCAAAAAGTATGGTTAGTTATCACTCTGTTTATGCTAATTATCTCGCAATCTACAAAAATCACTCACCTTGATGCTTGATGCAACCTACAAATCAAAAAGTTTTCTTTGCTAAACGTTGATTCTGTGATCGCTACCGCCAACACCTTTACCTTTGCCTACTGCTTTCTACAGCAGGAGAAGAAGGAAAACTTAGCAAGATTAAAACGGTTTTCAACAATTTTGATGTTGCCCCAACAACTTTTGTCATGGATCAAGAACTTGTGTTAACAAATACAAGTTTCGAAACGTGTATATGTTGCTATGTCATTGACATATCAGCAAAAACATACTTGCAAAACAAAAGAGAAACTTTGAGACTGGATATGATTGGCAACAATTTTTGTAGGGTGGGTAAAAAACATCATAAATTGAGGAAAAACGAGCCACTCTCTTGTTAAATTGCTAATTCTTATAATTCAACAAACAAGATTAGAAGTAAGTCAAAGAAGTATAAGATTTTTATTCATTTTCTTGTTAGAAAATTGTATCAATTATTTGAAAAAATGTCTTCTGATTAGAATATATGTATAATGTCATTATGAAGCAAGAAAGAACCTCCAAATTAAATAAAATTCATAAAAGATGTATTTGTGATGGTAGAAAAAAATGTTGGAACACAACCACATAACATAATTTTATTTTTTTATATATTAATATGCTACAACTAGCTTCATCAATAGCAATTAAGATGTTGTAATGATGTAACAACACATTAACATGTAGCAAGAACCTAAGTTTGATATGTATTGTTAAATGATGCCATATGGTTTATGTCATGTTTCTATAAATAAAACTATTTTTCAACCTAGATTACAAGTGTCGTAAAGAACTTATTAAACTCTTGCGTGCTTGATTGAGCTCTAATCTATACTTGAAAAATCTATATTCAAATGAATTGAAAAAAGCAAATAAAATATTTTTTTACTCATTAACAAGACAAAGATCAATGTAAATTTTTTAAAAGAAAAATGGTAAGATTTTAATGTAATGTTTTTTTAAAATCAATCCAAGGATAATAAATGTAAGTTGAATAAAAGTTCAAATTTTTTTGTTATAATTGGAATACTCACCTATCAATTGATTGATCGTATCACATGTTGATCAAATAGTAAATGAAGATTTTTGTTCAATAATTCTATATGATTGAACAATCAATAAATACTCAAAATCTCAACAAGATATACTTTCATTTAGTTATTTATTAAGTAGAGTATTAATCATGTTGTTTTCATACAAACATGTGATACTTAAGACAAGCAGGTTTAAGAGTCTAAGGTTGACAAACCTTCACACTAAAACACATAAAAGTTACTAGAATCATCAATAAGAGAAAAATGTAAAATTTGTATTTGTGTTATTCAATGATTTGATAATTGCAATAATTCAACTTAAGTAAATGATGATGATATTTAAGTTTATGAAACTTGTTAGACTTTGATCTTGGAAGAAGATGAAACTTTTTAATATGATAAAGCTCATACTTTGTTGATTACACTTGAATACAATTCACCAATACAAAGTAACATGCAATCATTAATTTACAACAAAAATTTGAAGATAGTGAATTAAATTTTTTTAAGAATCAGCAACTACTGCATACTTAGTACATTTACATCCCAAGTTTAAAAGATTTACAAGATAAGGTTGTGGACAAGTATAAGATGTGAATTACAATGAAATGTATTTCTTAGGTGCTAAGTATGCTATTACGGAGTTTACCTCCCCATAGTGACACATATTAATGCTAGGTTTTCCTATGACTATTGGGAGATATCACTCCCAATAGTGACAAGGTTGGATAACATTCAAGAGATCATATAGAAACATTCTTATTGCATGTTTAGCGGATCAGCTCAATAATAAGCAGATCATTTGGCAAATAGTATCATTCTTGACGACTTGTCTTTGAATTCAAATATTGGATTGTCTTAGTAAGTGTAACCTCAGATCGTCAAGATAAAGCAAAGTTATAAATTGTGGAAAGTGAGCAAGCAGAGCTGAGGTCTCCAAGGTCAATCAGAATTATAAACGACAAAAAATGTACAAGCAGAGCGCAGTACATTAGTAGAGTGATTTGTGTCTACTCTTACCTGTAAAATGGTTGAAATAACAAAGTGAAAGTAAAGTAACACGAATAAGAATGGACATGGTTGTATGATGAAATTATGTGGAGAAATAAATTTTAACAAATTGAGGTTATAAAACCATCATTTTTTTTTCTCATATTTCCTAGAGCAGGGTGTGGAGGACCGCAAACATGACAAACAAGCAAGTGCAAGGAAGTACTATGGCAACGAGGGGGAGTCAAGACAAGGTACGTGATGTGGTTCCACGCCATGTTAGTGGTGAGCAAGAGGCAAAATCAAAGATTGGAAGTTCGGCTCGAGTAAGACAAATAAAGAATCAATTTTAGATATCTTTTGAAAATTACAATTGGAATCGTCACTATTAGACAATATCATGTCACTATTCCCAATAATGACAGAACCGTTCTTATTGGATAGATTTGCAAGTGAAAATGTAATGGTTCTTGAGTTTTAAACCTCCAAATAGTGTCATCTTATATTAGTTACATACTCCCAGTAGTGAGATCGAATTCAAGAACCATTAAAAATGCTTCTATGTGATCCGCTAAATGCTATCCAATCTCATATGAATGACAACTCCCAATATTGAAGTGAAAACCTAGTACCAATATGTGTCATTATAGGAATGTTAAACTCTATACATCATGGATGTCATTAATAAGAGGTGACATTACTCAGAAGTTTAACTTTGTATTTGTTTATTATATATGATTTTGACTTGATTTCATCTTATCTAATTCAAATATTTTTTCATAATTTTTTTTCTCAAAATTTACATGACATGATATTATGTGTACATCTATTGAATGTATGAAGAAAAAACTATGTATAATTTTCAATTCTGCTTTAATTTTTGTATGAATTAAAGCAAATTTTCAGACAATTCAAAAAGCAATTTTTTTATAAGATTGCAAGGATGATAAAAATGTATGTGTATGATAAAAAAATTATGTATATATATATATGATGAAAGATAAAAAATTTAGCTTCATTCTCTATAAGAATGACAAAATTTGTAATTTTATTTTAATATATGAAGTTGATAGATTCAAAAATTTCTCAAATTTCAAATATAACATGAAAAATTCTGGTATTAAATCAATTTTTTTAAAATAAAGATATTAAAAACTAGAATGATGAAAAATTATGATCAATACCAAGCAAGTATGTCATATAGAGTTTTGAAATATTATGAAAATTTGCTTAGATTTTTATCTAAGCTTTAATAAATTTTTTGCAAAATTTGTGCTTGAATATTTGATATTCAAATTCGATTGTATGATAGTAAATAAAATTTCATGGTATTGATGATTTGAGATAGATTTGACATTGTTTTTGCTATGAACAAGATTAGCACATATTAATTGATTTCAAGAAAAATAAAAGTTAAAATGTACTCTCACAAATTTATCAAACATTTGTTGTTATGTGATTTTGTATTTAATACAAATATGTATAATCACAAATCATCGATTGATTATGTAGATGCTGATTTTGGATAAAACCTGAATTTAAAAAAATCTATAAGTCTATATATGTACAATTCGCAAATTTTCATGACAAAATGTATTAGATCAATACATTATGAAAACACAAAAGATATGTAAAGATGTAAAAAAATCAAAAGCAACTAAGTAGTTAATTCGATTGAGATGATATTAATGCATGATAATACAAAATTTCAATCTTATTCAAAGTCATTTTACATATAGTTGTGAAGTTGATTATGAGTAATATATTATAAGATATCACAGGTATATACATTATATATATCACAAGTCAAATTTTTTCAAACATGTTGTGTGAAATTAGATGATTGATTTTGTCAAAATTCACAATAAGAACTTAATTTTGAAGTAAAGAATTTTAAATTTAATTGAGAAAAAAAATCTATCTCAGATTTAGTTTTGAAATTTTTCTTATGATCATCATAAAATTAAAAAAATTTGTAGGTAACAATACATAAATCAAGAATAAGATTTTTATGAATTAAAATATTTTTAAATTCAACTTTATAAGTAAAATCATAATTTTTGAAAAAAGTGATCTAATACATGTAGCATATTCGTTAGACAATGTAAAATTTATGTGTTTCATGTATTTAATCTTGTCAAGCAAATCACATAATTATGACACAAAAATTAACATTTATTTTGTTAATAACTAATAAATGTTAATCATTATCAATGTCAATCTGAATAAAAATTTTAATAAAATTTTATTTCGATTTTATCTTGATATTTTGATTCTAAAATTTTTAAAATAAAAAATAACAAGAAAAAAATTTAAAAAATTATTTTGTATAAAAATTTTGCAAATGTTTTTTTATTGGAAATTTTCATTTTAAAAATAAAATTTCAAATATTCAAGAAATATATCTAAATCGTGGTCAACATATTTAATTTTATAATTGGTATAAAATAAATTTTAAAATATTTATTAAATTCAAGTCATAATATCATCGTCTTATTCTATTCAATAATCAAAATATCATCATCTTTTAACTGAATTAAATAACTACATTTATCAAATACTTTAGCACTACAAATAAATCATTCATATGCTTTCTTGTTGATTGATTTATTTGATTTTGATGTGATGATGTGTATCTAGATTCAACAATTTCATCACATTCTTGTACTTGCTCACTTATTTTAAGCTAGTAATCAACTCCTTGTGGCTTATAATAAAAATCATTATAATTAATCTTTTCATACTTATAGAATTTTTGGTGGTGTTATAATTAATCTTAATACAAGAAGCTTGGTTTTTTTTCTTCTGCTTAAAGATCATTAAACAAAATATCTTCACTAACAATCAATTTATAGGTGAGTGTATTCTACAAAATGATCCTATACATCAATTTGATTTTACAAATATATAAGGAAAAGAGTTATATCAAATGAGTTATAATTTATATGACTTTTGTCCTAATCTCATGTGATAAATTTTATTGGTTTAACATACACTTCTGTCCGCTCTAATACAATTTGATTGAGCAATCAACACCACCAAAAATTCATCTTTTGATTGGTTTTCTATGATATATAGATTGATAAGACTCAGGTAATTCAACAAATGACCAGGTTTTTTTATTACTCAATTTTTCATCATAATTCTGCATACCCAAAACAAAATCACAAAAAGCAGCAATAATATTTTCTATCCTTGTCTTCTTATTCTTGATCTTGAAATTCATTAGCTTCAGTTACGTGTAAAACCAAATTAATAATGATTGGTGATGATACTCATGTTTCATCCTTGAACTCACTTAACCACTTGTTAGGTGAGGTCAAGTCATAAGCTTGAGATTAAAAATAATAATTGGTTTACAACTATAGCATGCATATTGTTTCATTCATCTTTTCACATAAAATCAAACTTTGGGATGAACAATTTTTTAAACAGTCAACTTTGAGCATGACTTTTATTTGAGACTATCACACAAGATAATTACATTATCCATCATACTTGCCAATAATAAATTTAGCATCTTAAATCTTCATGATTTTCATCTTGTTTTGTATGGTAGTTTGAATTTATTTGATGTAAATTTTTAGTTCAAATTTGAATCCAAAATTTAACAAATAAAAGATTGTCTACTTATGCTCCACTGCTATTCTTTCTTATCATCCGTTAACTACTTTGGAACGTATGGGCTTGTAGCTCCGGCCAGAGCGATTGCTCGCAATTGTTCTGGCCGGAGCCAAATTGCAAACAATCGGAGTTGCGCGTTTTCACTTCAAGCTTACTTTAGCATTTTACTATGAAATTTACCTTATTCTTTGCTTGATTAGAGAAAGTAATGTTCACATGGAAGACTCCAAATTGCAGAGCTGTTTGCAAGAATTTTTCACCAGATTTCCTGTTCTTGAAGAGGAAACTCACTGCACTTATCAATCTTGTCTCACAATCTTGTGAACCAAGCACTACACATAAAAGAGTCGGAGTGACTCAAGAGCAGACGAAGAAAGAGTCACTATTCCCGTCTTTTTAAGAGCATACGATCTTAAAAAGCCGGGAATAGTGACTCTTTCTTTAGCTCGTATAGATGGTACTCAATCAATGTGAGTTTAATCTCAGTAGCGCACAAAATGTCACAAGACGAATCGGCAACGGAGTGATGCTTCCAGCCCCTTTAGGGTCAAACTCGTCTTTCCTTATGAGGCAACTGTGCTTGCTTCGACAAGAAAAAGACTTCACAAACTTCAATTTAAACAACTGTTCCAACGCAACACAAACTTGTAGAGGGAATGAGTCTTGGAGTGATCAAGGAACAAGGAACTCAGATTCAACTTCTCGAACTTAAAAATATTAAAGTGGCGTGAATATAGAAATAACATATCAAAGGGATACATGGCTCCAACAAAGGCTGCAGATTAGAGCAGACATCAATTTCCTAGGATTAACTATTCGACATTCAACTCCTACCCACGAGTTATATGTGCAACAAAGAAGTGAAGTGAGACCAAACAAAGCATGGATTGACATTCCGCTAAACGCGCGTTCATAATCAATTCCAGGAAATTTTATGTTGTTGTGAGACGATCGGATTTAACCAATCGCGGTCGTTTTGGTCCAGAACAAAGCGCCATGCTCCTCTTCTCGCCGATCCAAACGACATAGACAAATCACTCGAGAATTGTAATCCAAAAGCGTGCAACAAGCCTCGACCTTCACGTGCTCCAGTTTGAAAAAGCTCAGAAACCGTAGTGTTTACAGACATACACACAGAGCTCAGTTTCGTTCAACGTTAACAATCAACCTTAAAGTTAGACAACTTGATAGAGGCGAAGATTCTTCGCCAGAACGCACGTTCGATCACAAGAAAAGGCAATGAGTTTCTTACGGCAGGTTGGTTGTAAGAAAACGAAAATGCTGACAGAATATAGTTGGAGTGTTGAAACTCTGATGCAACACAACATAGTTTTCGATGAAGGTGCATTGATTCGGTTTCCTGTGCGTTCGGAGAATATCTGGTAGATGGGTTTCTGTTACAGGTATGACCTTGTGAACCACAATAAAGTACACGGGAAATGAATCCATCAATCTAAACTCAATCTACGACGTGTGCGGGTGAGACCCCTCGACTCAAAGTAAGACTCTTCAACTTTGTGAACATGTATGTATGAGCTCATCGATAAAATCCCGAACTGTAGAGCTCAGCAATTCATGTCCACAAGTCTTCAGCAGATCTTCCCAGAGATTGGAAAATCACATCAACGCACTGTTATGCCCATCGTATGTCTCGAGGCATGCAGTGCACACAGCTGAAGCTCAATGATGCTATTTAATGTGCTGATCTCTCGGGGATTGTTTCTCGGACGGAGTATCTATGCCAAGATAGGAATACTCAAGAGTGCCCTTTAAAGTACGTGACTCATGTCGATACTGTACGCATCTTGTTCCCGACACACGCGCATCTGTTCCCGACACATGAACAAAGATCCACAGTGCGTAACATTTCAACCATGTCAGATGATGACAAGATTCTGTCCTGGTCACGAATAGTGCACTTTCAACGGATCTCATGGCATGAAGAGGTTCATGCCACAATCCACGAGGTTAAGTTCAGACAGTACACACAACAGGAGTTCCAAGAATAAATTGAAACGCGAAATGAATGGTTGAGTGGTATAATATATATTTAAATACTGTACACTATCAAAGAGCGAAGTAGGCTCGAATGAATTAAACGTAAGGTGCGTAAATGTCATGCTGCTCTTGCTTCTCGTCCCTGAGACCTGAGCTGTAGAATGGAAAGTCCAACAGAAAGACAGTCTTGCACCATCGGGGCAGCTTGCCGTACAATGCTGGTGGCAAAGGTATCAAGACGCTGGTGTTCTGTTTGTACAATCGGTACTGGGCATTGCTCCCGTGGACTTGGTCGGCAGTGGACTCGAGCACAGGTATTCCGGTGACGAACAGAAGCATAAAGGTGACGAAGATCGGACTGGCAATGACTGCAAACTGCGTACCAGTAAGCTCAGGCATGGCGGCTAAAAAAATACCCCACCACAGCAAGATTTCTCCAAAGTAGTTGGGATGTCGAGACCAGCTCCACAGTCCAGCATCACACCACCTCCCTTTGGTTGGAAGCGACTGCCAGAAGATCTTGGTTTGATCTCCGAAGACCTCGATCTTCATTCCTATAATCCACATTAACCATCCTACAAAATCGTGGGCTCTGAGATGGGGAGACTGATTCTTGAATCTTCCATTCACCACTGTAATCGGCAGACTCACGGTCCACACCCACAAACCTTGAAGGACCCAGAGTGCTGCAAACTTGAACAGATTGTTGCGCTTTTCTTCTATTCTCTTGTCCGCACCCCAGTGCCAAGTCCTGTAAAATAAAAACAGTCCCAAACGCACTCCCCATACAATGACGGCGAGAGTCAAGACCAGTTGTCGGATCCCATGGGTGCCGTTCAAAAAATAAGTTAGAGCTGCTAGAATCACAAAGTTGCTCGTTCCAGCGAATTCTGCGACATTTTCGATCTTCAAAGTCGCCGCGATTACGAAGAAGATGAACTGATAAAACACGGTGACGATTCCAGTGATTGCCAGATAATCGGAGTCCAGAATTTGAGCTCCCATTGCTCTCCTCTTTCCTAACTCTGAACTCCGGGACGATGTTTACTCCCCTACACAGAAACCCACGAAAACACAACTGAGCACTGGTCTGTGCGTTACGAGAAACGCAGCAAACTCGTCTGAGGAATTCATATTTATGAAGGTCACAGCTGGGAGGCCTGGCCAGTCGTGCCTCGTGCTTGCTCAAGGCTCACATCGGCAAACTTTTTCGTACACGGACAGTATGCTTTGTCCCTCGAGAAGCCGACGCCCATATACGTCCTAAAAATAAGAATAATTTGTGCGAGTATCACATGATCAAGTACCGGGTCTCGAAAAAGGTGCTGCCAGATCATGAAAAAGCTGAATTTTGGCTCGCTAACTAAGGCGGGACTCCAACGTGACGACATCAGGACAAACCCACGAGACAAACTGTGACCCACAGTTGATTTGATTCCCGCACAAGAGTCAATGCATGTAATGGAATGACAAAGTGTGGGATAATTTTGAGGGAAGAACAGTTAAGTCTCAGCAGCGCGGGAATGTATGGTCCAGCAGAGCCATCCAAAAGCCTAAATCCTAGTGGCATATGCTGTTGGTCTGAATGTTGACATAAATGCTCCAGATCTTCAGCACTTCCTGAAAATAATAATCGATGAGCTCATTTGCGCTTTTGCTATGATTTCGCTTCACCTTACAGTGTTCGAGTGAATAATCAGATGGGGTTTATACAATTCAACTTTATATAAAATTTAGGTTGTCAAAAGCATCTTCTCATTTATGGTGTTTACGCTATTAATTCCCGTTTTAGCAACACCGGACATCAAGGAATGCATGCATGAATCAAGGAACTCCTGAATGCACTGCCTCCGTTCCGATTAGCCAGATGAAAGCAGAGAATCTTTCCCGGTCGTAGTTTAGAATCTGTGTCTCGCAGACGACATATGTTGGTGTAGTTTAGAATCTGTGTCTCGCAGACGACATATGTTGGTGAGGTTCGGTACAGAGAGCTACCTGTTTGCTCTTTGGTTCTACAAGTTGATATCTCCAGAAGGCCTCCGGACATTCGCCTCTCTATTGTGTTTGCGTGCTCTAGTCGCAAGAAAGTGGCATCGTACTGAAATACAAACCGGGACTGAATCACCCTACTCTCAGTTTTTATTCGTTGATATACTTTTGACGGGTGGCGTGATCCACGAGGGCTTGTAGAATATCCCCAAACCTATCAGGCTTTATGACGGCTCGGAAGAGATGATTCAACAATAAGGAGGAGTTCTCAGATTCCGCCAATGGCAACTCTCCTTGGTATATGGATTTCTAGATCCTATAGGGCTACCTATGGGTCCTCCATGTTAGTAGCATGGCAGCAAGTAAGAGGTAAACCGATAATACATATCTCAGTAAGGGCAGCCACGCCATGCACGTCATTTGGTTACCACTTTACCAAAGAAGGTATGGGCCAGTGAGCCAAATATGCATTACATTATGGCGGCCTCGAGAAAACTCGTTACCGGTTGACTCTGAATCAACTGAACGGATGAAACGGACTAACGATATCTTCCTCGGGCAGAATCATCTCCTTCACTATTTGTTCCCAGATGTGATATCCTATTGTGGACCTGGGGTCAACTACGTCAACGAGAACTACTCAACCGGAGCCAATGAGAGGCCAAGTTAGATCACGCTGTAATTTCAAAGACCGTTATGACTACATAATTGACAAACGAGATTGCGATCAGATAGACGTCCACTTGTTTAGAAACAGGAAGAACTCTGAAGGCTAGGATACTGGGAAAATCTATGAAAACTCTGCTGTTTTGATGTTAATCAGTGTTACGGTGCAGATTTTATGTCTCTCTCGTAGAGGATTTACCTTTCTTTATAGAAATGTTCTGAAAGTGTTGAATAAAGTCATGTCTTTACATCTCATAATGGGTCATCGTGAATCGTGAGGTTAGGAAAAATTAAGAATGTGTGAGTACAAATGATGTGAGTAAAGGATCTTCATGAGAAGAAGAAGAATGAGAAACTTATATGTACCGCTTCCCATAAAGCACTGGTTTAAAAGTGGAGAGTATCACAATGTATGGTCCATGTCGAAACATGGGACAAGTTCGGAACTGTTCGAAAACTTAGCACCTTGTAGGACCCCGGGCCATTATTGGGAGCTTCATTGAGTTACAGGTCCATATTGCGGTGGAGTCCGTACTGAACTCCTCTTCCAAATGCCTCTGAGCTGCTTGTCCTTCATCTCTTATCGAATTCCAGCACCAAGTAATTTCACTGTGCTCTGATCACAAGCTGGTGGTATTGTAGAGTTGGTTGGATGTCTTTCCGAATGCACTTTGAGAGTACATGTGATATCAGTACAGTAGAATGAGACCACTGACGAGACAACGACTGCAAACCATGATCCTGACGTTTTAAACTTTTTAAACATGGACTACCTTGGCCTGTGTTTAGTGCAAGATGGTAATTGGGCAGTGGAGGACTGTAATTTTCTCAGCCAAATTATGTCATTGTCATGTTTATTGGTTGCAATGCCGCGTAAGTAGCTTCTCTAAATATAGATTCTGGCACCGGAATAGCTCGAAGCCATGAATTGTGTTGATTTAATATCTTCTTACCTGAAAGCATCATCACATCTAATAGGAATTGTAACAGCGCTTTTCGCTACATTCCTTTTCACATTAGTCATTTCGTTAATAAAATTATATGGAGTTATTGAGGTGGAATTTAAGAGTTTACAGATTGAGATGAGGATATATTGTTATACTAAACAACATTTATATCATTTTCTCTATACTATTTTGTAACTCATTTTGGCAACCTTCTCATATGTTGGTTCAGATCAGAAAGTCTTGTCCATAGTCAACATCATCGTAGCCTAGCAAGTATTTGGCATTGTTTTACAAACCATCCAAAAAAATACCATAATCCTTATTACTCTTTAGATATCTAAAAATCAATTTTATTTTATTTCAATATTGTTTCCGTGGATTTGATATATTCTTGTAAATAGCTAAAGCAATATTTGATCTTGTGCATACAATGAAATACATAATAATGCCCACATGAAAATTTAATGACATCTTTACTTTTTCAATGACATGGATTGAACATTGAGCTGCAAAAATGTGTTGCCAAAGTAATCCAGATTATTTAAGAGTCTATCATGTAACAAATTATCAAATACACGTCAAATATACTTGTTTTGATTCAACCATAGTACTTTTTTCTCCAAATTATTACAAACATCCATACTCAATATACTTTGAAAATATATAAATTCTTTATTTTAAATAGAGATTTTAGTTGGTTCTTGCGTAGGTTTGATACTTTGCCAAAATGAACATGTCATCCACTTACAATTCTAGAAGAATAAGATTCAAGATTTCATTTTCATCTTCTTCATGCATATCTGTGAATCATACACACTCGGTGAAATTTTTTGTGCTTTTATGAACTCATCAAACCTAGCATTACGCTGTTTAGGAGCTTGCTTCAATCTATATAAAATTTTCAGCAATCTACAAACCAACTTCTCTTGATTTTTTTACTCAAAACTAACTAGTTGTCTCGTGAACATTTTTACTTCAAAGATCCAATGAAAAATATATTTTCTATTTTCATCTTTTCCATAAACAAATTAAAGATTGAAGCAAGTGCACATATAGTTACTAAATTGTAGTATACTTTGCTAAATGTGAGAAACTTTTTTTGTAGTTCACATTTTTTTTTTGCAAAAACTGTAGCTATCAATCTGATTTTGAAATTTTTTTATTGTTAGCTATTGGATAAAATCCACTTTGTACACACATTTGCTATCAATCAAAGTTTGAATTGTTGAAAACTTCACTAACAAACATGTCTTATTATCCATGAACAATTGTATTTTACTCTCCATGGTAGTATTTCACTCAATTATTTTTAAAATAATGAATTTTTTCATAATAAGGAAGTTTTTTTTCCTTAACATATCAACACAATGTTATAACCTTACTGTAAATCAATAGCATGATACTCAAAAATGGATGATAGGGTCCAAAATCCATACTTCATAGAAGCTATATCAATCCGATTTGATGATCTCAATAGACAATTCTAGTTGATTCCTATCGTCTGATGTAATTATTCGAAGCTAACCAATAATAATCTGCTTCTCCAGTTCCTGTTCTTTAAGAATTTGCTCCATCTTTATCAAAAAAAATTTGTGTCATATCATTAATTTCATAATGATTAATCTTTCACTCAAAAACAATTATGATTGGATATTTGTCCTTGTTAATACAAAATGCATGAAAAAACTTCTCCAATACTTTGAATGATCATAAAAAAACATTTCTACTTATAATGATTTTACAAATTACTAGATCTCATAGCATATAATTCTTCACATCACTAGCATATTGAAGAAAATAACGTTTTTTGAATGTAAAATATACCTTAATATATTTTGAATATGACAAAAAGAGTCTCAAATTCATATGAAAAATTAGATTGATTCAACATATTGTTTCTGTTCTTTAATGCTAATTGATTGGACTTCTCAAAAACAATGATATGTTGCGGAATATAAATTATGATGAAATGACTAATAATTTATTACTTTTACAATAATTTCAAAACTACTAGAAAAAATATTCTACGTTATTATCTTAATATAAATATCTCATCTTCTTTTCAAATTGAGTCTTATTTTGAGTTTCTTAATTTTCAAAAGTTGTAAACTAAAAACTAAAAACTAACCCAAAAATAAAATCAACATTAAATCTTAAAAATGATCGAATGATATATATTACAACTTGTCATAGGCTTTTGGAAATGAAACTCATGTCTCACTATGTACATACTAAAATAAATTCTTGGAATGAAAATTTCCAACATCAAATACTTGACAACAATGTTTGACCATAATATAATGTGCACAAAACTTCAAGTCAACTTTACATATGTTAAATTACATGAATATATCACTCAAAAGTGTCAACTACCTATTATTCATGTGTAATAGCTTAGAATGCTATACATGAATCACTTTAATTCAAGACTTTAAAAATTTTGATTTTATCTTAGATAATAATGCACTTTTGCATGTATAAATCATTGTGTTTGTGTCATCTTAACATAGTCTTATCACCTATCCTCACCTCAAACACTCTATCTTTAGAATTTTTGTCAAGATATTTGAAAATAATATTCTTAGAGAGATCAATTTTTTCCTCATATTCAATATAAATCTGACT